GCGTACAAATGCACATGTGTGCATATTAATGTATTTGTGAGTCACATGCTAGAGATTCATATTATATAAACATAAAATGCTCTGAAGAACTTAATGATGGTGAAGTAGAGTTGACCTTTTTAACTGACCTGAAATTTTAACGTAACGTTATTTCTCCAGTCGATTTACTTGATTTCGTTCATGTAACAACAATATAAAGCTGGGTTGACTCAGGTAGAACACGAACCCGGAAGATGATTTAACCGTTGATTTAAAATTGCTCCTGCGTAAATTCTTGATTGCACGTAACAATAATATAATCCAATGATGGCTTGGGGTGGACGTTTTTTTCCCCCTCAGTTACCAGAACGAGACAGCCATGTAAATGATCAGAGCTGGTGTTAATAATTTGAACCGAGTTAATTTCCGGAGAAGGCGCAGCTGTTATAAAAATGCTGTGAGTGGGCTCTGATTGGGTGAACATGGGGAGGACTGCGGGGCGCTATTCTATTTCTCATTGGCAATATTTCCGTGTCGGTCACAGATCAAAGATCGATAAACAATCTTATGAGTATTTTTTGGGGCGGGGGTGGGGGTGGAAAGGGGGGGGGGCTAATACAGAGGCGTAGCGTCCACTCCCGGCGCCCAGGGACAAACTTTCGATTTGGCGCCCCCTCACATATGAATTTTTTATATTTATAATTTAAAATAGCAGCTAAAATGAGCTTATTTTAGCGCCCCTAGGCTAATATAAGGGATTGAGTTATCTCCATACTGTGTATTTATACTACTTGCTATAGTCTCTAGAAAATCTCAAGTTCTGATCCCGGGCCTCGGGCAGATGAGGCTCGTTAGCTGGGGACAGCCACTCTTCTAGGGGAGACAACTCCAAAATCAAACATCTGCTGCCTTGTAGTTTGTTCTAGGTTGGATAAAGGCTATGGAAGCAAATCCAAAAAAAGAAAAGCAGGCTGAAATCGGAGTCAGTGGCGCATAACCAGTTGACACGTATCCCTAATTGTGATGGAAGCGTGGTCGAGTCGGCAAAAAGCTCATTATTGATAAATTCGAAAAAGTCTCGAGTTCAAACCCTCTGGCAGATAAGGCTCGATCCCTTCTAACACTAAAAATTAAGAACGAAGTAGAAGAAGTCAGTAGACCATCCTTTTGTCCACCCAACTCTGATGGGTACCTAACTCACTTTAGGGAAAGTAAAGGCGACTGGGCATATTGCTAACCACCCTATCACTTCATATGCCGAGGTCGCAGAAACAAGTGAACTCTAATACACTTGCCCTATAGACCGTCGGGTTTGAATAGGGAACTGTACTTTTTAAAGCGGCTGGGCTGAACACAATATCGAGGTGACTGAAAAACAACGAATTTTCTATCATCTGCCGAATGTGCCTTGAGCACGGACTTGGTAAATTATGATAATGGTTGTAATGAAAGTGGCATAGGGGTCATCCATAAATGATGTCAAGCTTTTTTGATGATTTTTACCTCACCCCCTCCCCTCCGTCACACGTCGTCACTAAAACCCAGACCCCCCCCCCTAAAATGACGTCACACCTCAGCTTACAATCCCCCTCAAAATTGCAGTTGATTTTTTTTTTTTAAATCGATATTTTTTCAAAAACCTTTCGGAACTCTGTCAAAATAGAGTATTTTAATCAATTGTTATTACAATTTATTAAAACAGTTTTCTAAAACGCAAAATAACTTCTAAAATTCGTTTTCTAAGATTGCTTTTTTTAAAATACAAAAGTATGAAGTCGCACCATGTTAACCCCCCCCCCCTATCTCCCCCTCATCACACACCGTCACAAAATTACAGACCCCCCACTCCCCCCTACGAGTGTGACGTCATTTATGGTCGACCCCATAGACACATTTTTACTTTCTCGTATATACGAAGTAGGCCTATAGAGAAAGTCTTGTAATCGTGCAAAAAGAAATCAAGATTTTTGCAAATCTCGACGTTTTACACCTCACTGATACGGAAAAACAGAATTTTGCAATCTTGTCCGAATGTCTGTGTGTCTGTGTGTGTGTGTCTGTGTGTGTGTGTAAACACGATAACTTGAGTACCATTACAGCAAGGTTGATGAAATTTCATATATAAGTATTTTATTAAAATCATATATCCCTATAAAATTTTGAGCGATTTCCGATAACCGGAAGTGGTACTTTTTCTACTTTGAATTTTTCAAAAGCCTATAAGTTGCGTACTATTTCAGATAGATATATGAAATTTCACATGTAAGTAAAAGATCTAATTTTCTACCTTCTGTCCAATTTTGAGTAATTTCCGTTGACCGGAAGTACTAATTTACGCTATTTCTGATTTCTCAAAAAAACGCAAGTAAATTTATAAAGTACTAATAATATTGTGCACTATTATGAACATCTTTATTTGGCGTTCGCTTGGTGAGCAATTCTTTTTTCTATAAGATTCTATTCTATTTTAAAAAGTTTAAGTATTTAAAATGGATTAAAAATCATAACTATATCCCGAGTTCCCATCCCCTGTTGTTTTATTTAAGAATATTCGAGAAAGTTTAGGGAAGATCACTCCCGGTTTATTAAGATGGCACTTGAAATGTTAAGGGGAGACAATCGTGCAACGGGATCTATAAAAAATAAAGCTCCGGTGCTTTCCGTTATTTTTTTTTATAAGTTTTATTAGTGAAGTACTTCGATTAATTATTTTTAGGATAACATTAATTATCCTAACTTATGGAGAGTGAGTGTTTGCTATTGGTTTTGGGTGTTGGTACTCGGTTAAAATTAGAAAAACTAAAATACTAAAATGTTATTAATTTAGATCGTTATTTATATGTGGTACAGGTGGTTTTGTTTAAAGTTTTAATTACTAAAACAAATCAAAACGCTTTTTTCAAAAATCAAGGGACATAACTACAGAAAAACTCAGCTGATTTGTGGTTGGCTACAATTTGTTTATTACGTTTACATCACGTAAGCTTTTCCCACACTTTCTCCTTGACCCGGTAATTAATTAGTCACCCTAACCTGTGAACCTTGACCGATAAAACCGTTTCGGCTTAGGACATTAAGACATGGTAAAAATGTGTGAATTTTTTTTTTAAAATTCGGTTTCTAATAGATATTTCATTAAAACAGTTAGTATAGAGTATATATGCAATATATAGAGTATAATATATATAAATATATTTATATATATATATATATCTTTATATATATCTTTATATATATATATATATATATATATATATATATATATATATATATATATATATATATATATAAATATATATCACATTTTACAAAATGTATGAGGATGTTAAAATGTTAACATTAAAAGTTGAAACAACATACGCTAACCCGTAGGACATTTACCAAATAAATCATGCGTTTTTTGTATATAATTTTAAGCAGTCTGTCAATTTCTAACACCGCTGGGTTTTCCCCACACTTTATTTAAAATGCAAAATCCGTTATTTATAAGCAGTTGTCTCGTTTTCGAATTTTTAATAACTTGTTGGCATTGATAAAAATGTTAGAGCATGTTAAGATTTAAAGTTTTTCTTATATTTCCATATTTCTATTGTTTTACTTTCGACTTTTTTTCATGCTTATAACAACATAAAAAATTGCTTATTACACCTAGCCATCCATTGGTCAGATGAAATAAAGTTTAAGGTTTATTACCTCGGCTTATAAAAAAGGTAGTGTGGTCAGCACTATGACCAGCCGCCTTTAATTTCACCAACGTAAATCTGGTACCCATCGAAGTTGGGTGGACTCAGGAACGTTTTACAGACATAAGCCCAAACCGATATCCGAACTGAAACATACCTTCCACACCTTCCCATTACAATTACAACATTTATCCTCTATTCTTAATACGATAACGTACAAACTTGGAATAGACACTTTTTAAACACAAGTTACCGACAAATGTATCCACAAAGTAGCCTATATATTACAATTTACTTACATTACTTGTTATTGCGACTTTACAAGTAACTTTAATTCTACACAAACCATTAAAGTCTAACATTACAATTGTACTAAATTTTAAGATGCCAATAATAAGCGTAATCTACATTTAACTCATAACTTAGTTCTATAATATCATAAATTATAACACAGTCAGCATTTAGCAGTAACACCATTTTATTTCTAAGCCAAACCTCATTCTCATTTAAACACATCTTAACTATCAAAAGAAAAAGAAAAACAAATAAAAACTCGCGATAACTATCTTTTCATATGCCAAGGTCACAGAAACAGGAGAACTCTACTTCATTTGCCCCAAGGACTATCAGGTTTAAAAAGGGAACTTTAAAATTCAATTTCTATCCGAAATCGTATGTTTAAGAAAACGTCTAATTTATCGTTTTTAGCAAAACATCAATTTAAGAACAACACATACTACATGTGAATGATGAGTTGTACTTGTACAAAATGGTCATCAATCATTGCCTAAGACAGGAGTTATTGCATCGCGAAAACAAAAATAATAACTTGTTGTTTTGTATTTTTAAAACATTATTTGTCCTTATTTACCTCTATTTTTTTAAACCTAATTTGTCGTTACTTACCCCTATTTTTTTAAAACCTAATTTGTCCTTATTTACCTCTATTTTTTAAACCGAATTTGTCCTTATTTACCTCTATTTTTTTAAACCTATTTTGTCGTTACTTACCCCTATTTTTTTAAAACCTAATTTGTCCTTATTTACCTCTGTTTTTTAAACCGAATGCGTCCTTATTCACCTCTATTTTTTAAACCTAATTTGTCCTTATTTACCTCTATTTTTTAAACATTATTTGTCCTTATTTACCTCTGTTTTTTTTAAAGTTATCTGAGTGACCTCGGCTTAATGAGAAAAGACAAAAAACAGATCAAGACCAACCCCCAACACAGGCTACGCCCTTGTTGTAACTCGTCCAGCAGCTTGATTGTCTCCCTTCCCAGGGGACACAACCGCAACTTTACCTCCCTTTTACAAATCACACAGTTAATTGAGCGGGCTGTGATAGGGCGTTGACTTGAAAAGGATATTGTTTTTGTTTTTTTCCAAAGGTATAAAAATGAAATCTTCCTGAACAAAAGGAAAATCCAAGTTTCATTTTTATTTAAGCCAATAGTAAGCCCGTTCGAATTGTCTACCTTTTACTTCAAGGAATTCGTTTCAAATTTCTTTAAAGTTTTACTTCCTGGGAAAATATGCAAGTTAATATAAAACACAAAAAGGACACCTAAGTAAGTTCTACAGTATTACACAGTCAAACTTCGTCAGCTTTACAGGTAAGAATTACCCTTGAATCATATTAGCATTTAAATTGTATTCACTGAAATTATGCTATGTGACATAACAATATCAGATCAGGTAACTTAATTAGAAAACAAAATGCAATGTTGCCGTTGAGAATATGACGATCCATGGGGCAGAGGAAGTAGAGTTCACCTTATTCCACCACCTGAGCATATGGATGGATAAAGTAGTAAACATTATGCCCAACTGACTTTACTTTTATTAACAGGTGTTAGGTACTTAATATAGCTGGATAGACTCTAGCCTGGGTTCGAGTAGAACTCGAGAATGTCAGTTTAGCAGGTGTTTGCTCTACCGTCCTACCACGCCGTCCGATAACACAATTACAGAAAAAAATGTTTTGCTTTATGTTACAGTGCTTATTATTTTAATTTTTAATTTTTTTTTCCGTGCTATTTTTTTTCCGGAAAAGATTACGTTAAACTTTTTTTTTCCCAGTACACAAATTGTTTGTTATAGCTTTAACATAGACAAACGCCACATAGCTTCTTCCAGCACTAGTTGTAGGCTAATGTTTTGACATAATCTCGCTCATATACTCACTAACATACATACGGATAGGATTTCTTCGTACATTATCATAATAGACAAATATACATTCATGTAGGGGAAACTCTTTTTAACTAGACATAGCAGGTGAAGTAGAATTCCTCATTTTTTCTGCACAAGATTATGAATTAATTCTGTAGTCTAAGCTATAACGTTACTTTTCACCGCATGACTCTGATACACTCTTGAGATGTGTGGAAGATATACGGAATCGTAAGCCGGAACTAAACTTGACATGAGCTGGTAAATAATTACGGAACCGACGAATACGGAACTTGACTCGACATAAAAGTTAAAACAAATAATTCTAAAATAAGATTCTTCTTTCGTAATTAACAATCCATATGGTAGTTGAAGTAGAGTTCATGTGTTTATTATACTCGGCGTATAATATTTCCGTGTGGTCATCACTAAGCCCAGCCGCCTGTTCTCTCCCTAACGTGAGTCAGGCACCCAGCAGAGTTGTGTGGTCTCAGGGAAGTCCTGCTTTCTCGAATCTGGACCAACATTCTTGCCCGAGACCTTAGTCTATCACTCTATCACCCAACCACGCCACACCATAACCTTACAAAACATATAACCACAAACCCCCGTATCAATTTACACCAGATACCGTCGAATACTTGCATTGGCTTACTTTTGACTTATTCCTTTGTGCCCTTGAGGAGCAAAGGGCTGCAACCACACCTCTCCAGCGGTCTCTCTTTATTTGCGCCCATGTAAGCCCGGCAGCTCTTGCCACTTTTTCTACTGTTTTTCAATGATTTCCTTTGTCTGCCTTCTTTCCTCTTCCCCCTGGGGATTCCAGTGTAGCGCTTTTTTTTCGGGATATAATCGAATACTTACATTAATATATACATTTATTTCTTACACGGTTTTAAATATACATAGACAGACAAGTACACAGGCGTGGTCGAGTCGGTAAAGCTCATTGTTGCTGTACCGAAAAGTCCTGAGTTCGATCACCCTGGAAAATAAGGCTCAATAGCTAGGGACAACCATGCATCAAGGAGAGACAAATAAAAAATCAAAGACCTGCTGCATTGTAGTTTGTTCGTTACTAGACAAAAGCTATGGAAACAAATCTAGATAGTAAAGCAGGCTGTAATCTGAGTCAAAAGCATATATGGCGCATAAGAATTTGAAACGTATTAATCACTTTCAATACTAGAAAAAGAACGAAGAAGGAGAAAAAAAAGAACAACAATTGATTATGTATTTGCCTACATCTGTATATGTTCATTTAGATCTCCGATGTTTTTTTCACTATACATTTTTTCAGTTTTTATTTGGTGCTGATTTTTTAAAACTCATTTTTAACATGTTAATACTTGTTATGAATCATGTTTATGCAAACTATTTGCTCCATAGTAATCTCTGTATTATAAAACAAATTATATTTTCTGGTGGACAAGCTGACATTTTTAATAAAGGGGTTACCTATTTACCTTACGAATGACAACCACATTTATCTTAGTGCTGTTTCAATTGTTATTTCTTTTAAAATTTATAAAATTTATAAAATGGCCCCTCTATTCTAAATTGCATATAAATATATATATATATATATATATATATATATATATATATATATATCTATATCTATATATATATATATATATATATATATATATATATATATATATATATATATATATATATATAAATCAAATAATAACCTAGAAAAAAAAGTCGACAATAGTACAGCGATATATTGTTTAAAAAACGTCCATACTATTATTACAACTAAATGACGTCATCAGTTATTGCGTAGATCAAACGAAAGGGCCCAAGGGCCTGTGATGTCAATGACACGACTAATTAATGCAGCAAATTAAAGTGACACCGAGAAATTGATGTGGGTATAATATACCCCCGCATGACAATAATCTGTGAATGTTTTTTTTTCTATTGAGGAAGGGTGTGTGTGTGGGGGGAGGGGGAGGGTGGATATGAATTAACGCAAAGTACATAAGGTTTTTTGATACTAATGCAAGTATATTAGCAATAATGGGGGGAGGGGGGGGGGGCATGAAAACAATTTATTAATAATAAATGTAAAAAAAACATTAATCCATCGACCTAATTTACCGATAATTAAACATTGCCTGCTGTACGAGTTTGCTGTGAGCTGATATTATATAATTGATGTTTTTTAAAGTACTTTATGTTGCCGTTGTTGTAAGAAATAAAACAATGTTTTACTTTAAACAGTACTGAATTAGTGATTTTTTAGATGTACAATTATTGTACACGTATTTAAATTTTACCCCAATTCATCCCCTCCCCACCCATACACTTTTCATCTAAACATCCTCCCTTCCATTCAATGGATCTATGACAGAGCCTCCCTTTCCTCCCCCCCCCCCCCCAAATCAATGTTCCTTTCAGACGTGTTTTTATACTTCCAGGGCGAGGACTGGTTAAAACTATAAAAATTTGTATACAAATTCTCTTGCTTTTTAGTGAGGGGGAGGGGGGAGGTAAGATATTGACGTTTTCCGAAGAAATGACTATGAGAAACACCACCCCTGATCTGGAACCTTCCTCTCTCTTTCATTTTATTCTTGTAGTCTTTTAGATGCACACCTCAGCCGCCCACCCTGCACCCAGTGTTTCTTCCAGACTTTTTTCTCCGGGGGTGCACTTGAAATTTCCGAAGGGGGGGATGGTAGACTTTCTTCGGGGGGGGGGGGGGGGGCGGACACTGTTAAAAGTATATATGTTCAATATAAATTCTTTTTCGTTCTACGAGGGGGACAGTAAACTTTCTGGCTGGAAGAAACTCTGCTCTACTTCCCTCTCATCTGAACCTCCCCCTCCCTCCTAAGGTCTACGCCTCTGCCCCTCCCTCCCTCATCAGCACCCCAACCACGTTCAGATGTTCATCACCCCCAATGTATGTCAACAAATTTATTTACCTAATGTTCATCACGTGATATGCTAATGAGCTGTTTCACGCGGTACGCTGGGAACACACGGGAACAGGTTCATTAATCTCTGTAGTGAAATTAAAGGGAACTTGTTTACGGTAAAAAAAAAAAAAAAAAAAAAAAACATTTTTTTTTTCCTTTTTTCTGAAGAGCGTAGTTTGATGTTTATGAGTGACGTTAATGTATTCCATTACAAAAGACAGCAGACAGATACCGTGTTGTCAGTATTCGCGGGGACAGATACGGGCATAGGAAGACAGACAGGAGATGGCCCGGGAGGTGAAGTGGGGGGAGGGGGCTGTGACGTCGAAGGTCACCGGTGTCGCTCTCATGTGTCTAAGGTCTTGTCACAAGACTGCTAGGGACTGTCATGGAAATAACCCCCACCATTTTAAAGAAGTATAGAGTCTGTCAGTGTCGTTAAACGTTGGGTCGCATTTTCATAAAATATAAGAACCGCTTCTATTTTGGATTTTTTTTTTAAATTCCTTATTAAAATCCCTTGTTCCGATCTAAAAATAACTTCTTCATTCGGTCGTTTCTCACGCTTTTTAACTAATAATAAACATAGCAACACGCTATGACGTCAAGCGGCTTAGGAAAGTGTCGTGTGTGTAGCACATTCGCGATGGAGGTAACAACATCAACAACAGAGGAAACGCCTGTGTTGACGCGTGTTAGATCGGTGTGTAGTGTGTAGTTCAGCCTGGTTGGTGCGGTGTGTCAAATTATCTGGGAGTTCGTCTCAAAACTATAAAGTATGTAATTAACTTTTGTAACAAATTTAGAAATTACAGGCTGTATTTTAAATATTTTTCTCTTATTTATTTTTTATAGATCTACTTCTAATAGTAGTTTATTAAAACTTTAAATATTTACCTTTCAATTTAATATTTTTTCACTCCTTAAACACATTAGTACATTTTTACTGAAGGCTAATTTATTTAATCTTAATTACTATTAAAACTTCCTAGTTAATTAATTAAGCCTAAGCCTAAAGTATCAGAGAATATACCAAATGGAAGTTACTGAAAAATAAATAGCTCATCGTTTAATTATATTGTACATATAGTTGCTAATTTGAAGGACCTAAAACTAAACCTGACCACAACATTGTTTACAATGTGTTTTTCTCATTTCCGGAGTGAATGCTATAAATAACATTTCGGACTTTCCCTGTCTTTGTTTACTGTCCTGTCATTTCGTGTACTTTTCAATAGTAATGAAGAACAGTAGAAAAATGTCAAATACTATTTTTAATTAGTGGGTTTATTTTCTAGGGAAATGAAATACAACATTATTTTGGGTGAATGATCATCATCTTTTCCCGTTTGTGCCTAAGACACATGGGACAGTTGAAGTAGAGTTCACCTGTTTGAATTGCATACAATTGGATAAGGTGGTCAACATTATGCTCAGCGGCCTTTGTTTCGCTAACGCGAGTTAGGTACCCATCAGAGCTGTGTGGATGTAGGGACGTTCTATTGATTTGAACACGGATTAAAACTCGAGACTTTTGAATTATCAGTCTAGTTCTCTACCGCTAGGTCACGGTCAGTGGCGTAGCGAGGGGGGCGGGAGGGGTACATATGTCCCCAGGCGCCGACCCTAGGGGCGCCAAAATGGGTTGGAAAAAAATTAAAAGCTCATTTTAGCTGCAGTTTTGCATTATAAATACAAAAAAAAAAATATCTGGGGTTGGGGGGGGGGGGGGGGGAGGCGCCAAATTGAAAGTATGTCCCGGGGAGGGGGCGCCAAATTGAAAGTTTGTCACCGGCGGGCGCCGGGAAATCGCAACGCCTCTGGCCATGGTTGTGGGATGATAGTTTTATGAAATTATTCTTCAATGTTATTATACAGTACGCTCATAATCCATTACTATATATACCTTAATGCTCATATATAAAGCATTATCGTATCGAACATTTGCTCAAACATAATTTCGGTAAGGTCCACTCCACTGTTAATGTTAGAGTTATTGTTGCAGAGCAGATTAACGTTGAGGTGCATGCCATGTCTTTAACTGCTGGTATGACCCTGTCAGAGTTTCTTGAGTTTCTTTCAGGCATCTTTTCGGAAAGGAGGGGAGGTGGTGCCAACCCTCTTCCCAAAGAAAAAAGTCTGAATGAATGCCTTGTTAATTGTCTTCGGTTAGGTAACGGTAAGAGACTGCTAACTAAAATGGAATCGCACTATCATGATTAAAATTCTTATTTTCTATAATTTCAGGAATAAAAACATGAGTCTACTGAGGTGCGTCATTCTGGTTGCTATGGTAACAGAATTTGAAGTCAAAGTTGTTTCCTTTCCGTGGCGCATGAACAAAGGCCATCTGACCCACAGTGAGTTATACATGTCTTGAATTGTCTACCCTGTTTTCGTCTAAATGAACTCTAGTATTGGAAAAAAGCTGTTTTGTATTGTTTACTCTGTTTTCCTCTAAATGAATTTTTAGTATTGAAAAATAATCTGTTGTGTATAGTCTACTGTTTTTAGTCTAATCTGTTTTCGTCTAAATTTAATTTAGTATTGAAAAATAAGCTGTCGTGTATTGTCTACTCTGTTCCGTCTAAAAGAACTTTAGTATAGAAAAATAAGATGTTTATGATAAGGAAAGCATCTGAGGTTTTTTTTTTTTCCTACGATGTCACACTGTCAGTCAAAAAGAACAGCGTTTCTGGGTTATAAATTATGGTTTTTTTTTTAAATAAAGAGAGCTTATATTGCTTTGCATGCATACAATTTCAATTCTTAAAAATGTATTTTAAAATTCATTTTTTTTTTGTTATCTTATGTCTTATATTAACTTTCTTGTTCAATTACTGTAAAAATAATTTCAAAAGTTGATGGTAATGAAAAGAAAGATCGTACTCCATCTATACAGTGTTTTTTATTGATTATCCTGGCTTTTCAATCATATAAATAATTTAGTAATCATTGTAGCGTTGTTGGCTGACGCCGATTTTATTATGTTTGTGAATATAGTTTAGCCTGACTCTGAATCTGAATAGCTTTCTACTTTTCAAGCACAATTAAATTATATAGGTACGATTTAAATAACTACACAGCTTAACCGTATATTAAAGGTATATTAAACTACAAAATAAAATTTAAAACGCAAATGATATACCATAATTAACGGTGAATATTATAACCTTTACCTCGGTAAAAATCAACAAGGCTACTAGATCAGAATGGCATTCTAAAATATTCCATCTCAACCCAGTACACCATCCACCTTTATCAACTAGAATCACCAAGCATACACTTTTGTCAAAATTATTGAAAAAAAAAGCCCTATCAAAATAAAATATTTTTTCTTCAATACATCGCTTGCTTTCATCAGAATGCTTAGAGACGTAATTGCACGTCGGTCTATTTTTAACCGCACAATTTATTTAAAGTACCGCATTTCCTCAAGCGGTTAATTATTTCGGAAAGCTGAAAACAATCCGTTTGTCAGTATAGATGTGCCGTTGTCGCTACATGTCTAAGTCAAAACTGCGTATTTAATGTTGAAATTACTAGAAATTACTAGAACAGTTAAAAAATATTCTTAGTAACTCGATAGTTACATTTCAATTTACAGAATTTTGGAAGGTCGAACTAATTTAAAAAAAAAAAAAAAACTATTCCCCCCCCCCCCTCCTTATATCAACCACATAAACACACTTCCACACATCACTCCATATTGTTACACTTTAATTTATAGGCTCCGTAGATGCTGAGCTAATACAAAAGACCCCACCAAATTGACAGACACCCTCCTTCACACACATATACAGTTCTATTTATAGATTCCATAGTTGTTAGTTAATTGAAGAGACCTACGACCCCAACCATACAGATAGATAGACACCCCCACCCTCATACAAACATTGATACGATTCTATCGAGGTAATTGAAGAGACCCTCACCAAACCCACAGGCACACCCACACACCACGCCACACTGATACAGTTCTAATTATAGACTCCCGTTTTGTTGAGCTCATCGAATAGACCCAAGACCCCCATAGACACCCACACTCTACTCACACATACTCATACGCTTCTATTTATAGACTCCGTGGACATCGAGATAATCGAAGAGACCCACGACCCTTACGACCCCCACAACCCCCCCCCCCCCCCGCACACACACACTCTACCCACTCAAACTCATAAGCTTCTATATATAGACTTCGTGGACATCGAAGTAATCGAAGAAACCCACAACACCCGCGACCCCCACAAACCCCCCACACCGCAATCTACACACATATTCACACGCTTCTATTTATAGACTCCGTGGACATCGAGGTAATCGAAGAGACCCTCGACCCCCATAGACAAGCCCTCACTCTACACACTCACACACACACACACACACACATATATATATATATATATATATATATATATATATATATATATATATATATATATATATACACTTCTATTTATAGATTCTGTGGACATCGAGGTAATCGAAGAGACCCACGACCCCCACGACCCCCGCGACCCCCGCGACCCCCACAGAAACCGGCGCAGCACAGATCCCAGCCCCACCCTACCAGCACTACTGCATGTCCGGCTAAACCTCGGCGACCGGCACATCTCCCTGCGGGTGAGACGGAGCACCCCCAGCCGGTCGAGCCGGAGAGCCGTATCCGATTTCCCGGTGTTCGTCATTGTGGACGGGGAGATACGTCAGAAGGAGTTGACCCTTGACCCGGTGAGTATGGTAGAGTTTTTGTTTGTCGAGGGTTGTATTATCTGGTATAGTAGAGTTATCGTTTGTCGAGGGTTGTATCATCTGGTATGGTAGAGTTATCGTTTGTCGAGGGTTGTATTATCTGGTATGGTAGAGTTATCGTTTGTCGAGGGTTGTATTATCTGGTATGGTAGAGTTATCGTTTGTAGTAGGTTGTATGTACCTGGTATGGGACGGCGTGATAGAGAGCTAGACTGCTAACCCGAGAGTCTCAAGTTCGAATCCGGGTTCATATAAGTGGAACGTGCCTGAGTCCACCCAGCTCTGATGGGTACTTAACATACATTAGGGAAACAAAGGTGGCTGGGCATAGTGCTGACCACACTATCCCTTCATATGCCGAGATAATTGAATCAGATGAACTCTACTTCATCTGCCTCATCTGTCTCGGGAAGTATGTACCTGGTGGGATGATGTGGTCGAGTGGTATAGCTGAATAATGTGGTATAGTAATTTATTCCTAAGTGTCGGGTTGGCTCACATCTATTGGGTTTGCGTGGCCGGGTTGTAGCTTTAATGAGTACGAGCCGACCCGCGGCGTATCATACGCCGCTATTTAGTTGTTTTATTTTCTACTTTTCAGTAATTTATAATTTGTGAATTCGACAGTACCAATGCTGCCATTTGCTTTAAAACACTAACCGACCCTACACCCCCCCCCCACCCCGTGAAAGCAGCCTCCTCTTAGTTACCTCCTGTAAGTTTAAAATCGTTTCAAACTAAATTATCTGCCCCTAATAGCCGTCACTAAACCCGGCTCCACGATTTGTAAACATTTAACTTAGCGTGACCACAACTCACCAGACCTGGTGGGGGTGGGGTGGGGTGGTAGTGTTAGTGATAGAGAGAAAGAGAGGGGGCTGTAAGGAGGCGCTTGCAGCTTGTTTTCTAACGTCTCCCAGAAGAGAATTATATATATAGATGGTATACTTATCTAATGGTTTGGGACACGGGTTGGTTCAGATCTAGGTGGTCTGTGTGGTCGAATGGTAGAGCTAATAACAGCCAACTTAAATCCCCGTCTTCGACGCGATTCTTTATTACTATTCTTATCATACTCAAATCAATTGAACTAAAGCCTGTTGGGTATAAGAGTCATCACATAATAGCTATGGTAGATGAATTACAAAAGGACTTTTTTTTTCATTTTATTTTAGCTACATTAACCCAACTCTCTTCTGCTTAGTTTAGCATTTCCAGGTCTTAAATAATATGACATTTTTTGATATGACAAAAACTCATCTGTATTAGTCTGCTCTGTCATGCAAAAATATAGACTTCCTGTTTCTTACTGTATGTAATATATATATATATATATATATATATATATATATATATATATATATATATATATATATATATATATATGTATATATATATATATATATATATATATATATATATATATATATATATATATATATATGTATATATATATATATATACATATATATATATATATATATATATATATATATATATATATATATATATATATATATATATATATATATATATATATAAAGTATTTATGTATGTATGTATGTATTTCTTATTTGACATATTTTCCCAGCTAAGCCGTTTACAAACACTTATTTTTTAAGCGCAGTAAAAACAAGCTTCTATTTATATTTTATCCGATGCTTAAGGCGAAATAAAGGAAAACAACCTCTCGCGACAAATGCTAAATACAGGATTTAATTGTTTTTGTTTTAAATGGTGCACAAACAAAACCATAACTTTTTTTTTTTAAAGCTGACAAAATATTTTTGTCTTTAGCTACCTTTGCTTATAGCCTAGTCACTAGGGAAACCCTAAAAAGTAGGTCATTGCTAGTCGTGACGTCATTAATACATTTCTATTTTTATCTTTTAAAATGGTGGGAAAATTAGGGTTTTTCCTTATTAATTTTTTATACATGCATCCTCAACTGGACGTTAGTTAAAGCATGAGAGATTAGTTATGGTCCAGGAAATTAGCATTTGTTATTTAAAAGTGTAAGGTTGGCGAATGTACATTTTTAAATATAAATACAAATGTACTAGAATATATCTGTCAACATATCATTCGGTTTTTATAAGTCCAATGTTTCTTTCAGACTTTGTTCTCCCGGGGGGGGGGGGGGCACTTGATATTTTTTGGGAGGTGGATTACATTTTCCGGGGGTGGGGGGCACTGATAAAATTATATATTTTCTATTTAAATTCCATTTCGTTCGGCGAGGGGTGGGGATAGACTTTCTTCGGGGTGGGCTCAGTCCCACGTCCCCCCCCCCCTCACAAAAAAAGAGATACCTGGAAGAAACTCTGTATAAGACTTAAGAAGAAACCCGTATCTGTTAAGTATATTGTTCCCGTGTCTTAGAGCTTTGAACACATTTCATTAGACGAAAACGTTTGAAATCTACCCTTCAAACGACTCTACACCACTGTATTTTAATCTTGACCTAAACATCTACACATAGAACTAAGTAAATTCTCTAATATGTCAAACGTCATGTAAAAAGATAAATTTCTACTTAATATACTCTATCTACCATCACGTCTGTTTTTTTAAAGATTAATATTAATTTGAGTTCGAATCAGGGATCTAGTCAGTAGACCGTCCCTGAGTCCACCCAGTTCTGATGGCTACATAACTCACGTTAGGGAAAGTAAAGGCTGTTAGGCATAGTACTGAATACGCTATCTATCCCTTCATATGCCGAGGTCACAGAAACAGGTGAACTCTACTTCAATCGCCCCATAGATCGTCTGATTTGGAAGGGGAACTTTACGTTTAAGAAATATATTCATTTAAAAAAAAATACGATTACAGGTGTAGTATGAAATTATATTTTTATATTATTACAAATGTTTTACAAATGTACTATTTAAAAAAAATATAATAACAGGTGTATTATGAAAACACATCTATCGATTAACGCACTTAAAGTAAAGTAAAATAAAATCCTCATTCCGTAAATGGCGGACTCATGATGTAGGTGAAGCAGACTTCATCCGTTTCTGTAACCTCGCCATATGAGGGGGTAGTGTGATCAGTACTATGATGCCCAGCCATATTTACTTTCCCTAAGGTGAGGCAGGTACCGATTAGCGCTGGGTCGACTCAAAGAGGTACGTACGAGTTAGAAGACGTACACTCTACCATTCGACAACGCCCTTTACATACATATATATTTGTTTCAAATGTTACTAATGACCGTTTGATGTTTACAACTTTTAGAGGTCATTAAGGGCTCATTAATTAGTTCTTGAGTAGTTTACACTGAGTAGTTTCGCCTTCACCTTGAGTTTCAGTGACCTTCATTCCACATCATCAAGGTCAAGATTCACATTAAATTAGATAGTTTATTATATTTTTTTGTATATATTTTTTTTTTAATTTTTCACATTAATTACAGTAAGAGCAGGGCATTGCCCACATTAATTAAACATATTTATAAAGGTGAAGGTCAGCTCAGCGATGTTTTTTTAATGTTAGGTGTACAGTTAACTATGAGAAACTGTTTAAAGTTAGCTTCAAATAACTAAACACTCATTATATGATTTCAACAAAATTCAATAACCCAATACAGTCAACAGCCTATACTACGCATAACAAGTTGACAAGTGTACTTAAATGTGTTGGAAGGAATCCCTTCTAACAATATAATTAAGAACGCAGAAGAAGAAGAAGAACACAATTTTCACCTTGTTTAGCCCCATCACTTAATGGTCATTATTTGTTACGAGAAAAATGGCCCGTTGAGGAAGGATACACCGGGCGCTAGGTTGATAGTGCTGTCTCTTTTCTCTAAACAAAAACCACCCCCCCCACACACACCACCCCCACCCCCACCCACACCCCCACCCACACCACCCCAACCCCCCACCCCCCCCCCCACACACCACCCCCCCCACACACCACCCCCCCACCCCCACCCCTACACACACCACCCCACACACACACCACCCCCCACCCCCCACCCCCCCCCCCCAAAAAAAAACATGTCTACCGTCCCATTCAACGAAATATAATTATATACTTTTTCCAGTGTCCGCCCCCTCCCCGAAAATTCTACCCCCGCCCCCGAAAATTTCAAGTACCCCCACCCCTCTCCGGGGAGGAAAAAGTCTAAATTAAAACCACCCCCCCCCACTCAACCCCCCCCCCCCACCCCCACCCCCCTCAGACGTTCTTACGCGGGGGTGGGGCTTCGCCCCTACCCGAAGAATTGTATCCAAGAAACTCTTCACGCAAACCATTTAGATTAGACAACATTTCCTTTTTTTCAATGTTTCAATGACGTCATTACATTACTGTGTGCACTCTCTGGTTTGAGATTATGTTCTACTCTACGCTAAATGTGTCGACGTCATATTTCGTTTTTCGAATTACTGTGCAGGTTTTTAAATTCCTTGTGTTTTCTCTAGAGCGTTCTTGTCAGACAGATAGATAGATAGAGAGACAGCGAAACTATTATTATAGACGAGAAAAATGGCCCGTTGAGGAAGGATACACCGGGCGCTAGGTTGATAGTGATGTCTCTTTTCTCTAAACTAAAACCAACCCATCCCCCACACACACCTACCCCCAACCCCCAACCCCACCCCCCAGCCCCACCCACCCACCCCCACCCCCACCCCCCAAAAAAACATGTCTACCGTCCCATTCAACGAAATATAATTATATACTTTTTCCAGTGTCCGCCCCCTCCCCGAAAATTCTACCCCCGCCCCCGAAAATTTCAAGTACCCCCACCCCTCTCCGGGGAGGAAAAAGTCTAAAAGAAACACTGGTGTTGCGCTTAGCCACTACGCGAAGAATTGCATTAAAGAAATTGCGAGAAAACCACTTTTTAGATTAGACACATTAATTAGGCGGTAATTTTATTATAGAGTATCGATGAGGAAACCACCCCACCCCACCCCCCCCACACACACACCACCCCCACCCCCACCCCCACCCCCCCCACTCCCAAAAAAATCATGTCTACCGTCCCATTCAACGAAATATAATTATATACTTTTTCCAGTGTCCGCCCCCCTCCCCGAAAATTCTACCCCCGCCCCCGAAAATTTCAATTACCCCCACCCCTCTCCGGGGAGGAAAAAGTCTGAAAGAAACACTGGTGTCGCGCTTAGCCACTACCCGAAGAATTGCATTAAAGAAATTGCAAGAAAACCACTTTTTAGATTAGACACATTAATTAGGCGGAAATTTTTTATAGAGTATCGATGAGGAAACCACCCCACCCCACCCCCCCCCCACACACACACCACCCCCACCCCCCACCCCCACCCCCCACTCCCAAAAAAATCATGTCTACCGTCCCATTCAACGAAATATAATTATATACTTTTTCCAGTGTCCGCCCCCCTCCCCGAAAATTCTACCCCCGCCCCCGAAAATTTCAATTACCCCCACCCCTCTCCGGGGAGGAAAAAGTCTGCAAGAAACACTGGTGTCGCGCTTAGCCACTACCCGAAGAATTGCATTAAAGAAATTGCAAGAAAACCACTTTTTAGATTAGACACATTAATTAGGCGGTAATTTTATTATAGAGTATCGATGAGGAAACCACCCCACCCCACCCCCCCCCCACACACACACCACCCCCACCCCCACCCCCACCCCCCACTCCCAAAAAAATCATGTCTACCGTCCCATTCAACGAAATATAATTATATACTTTTTCCAGTGTCCGCCCCCCTCCCCGAAAATTCTACCCCCGCCCCCGAAAATTTCAATTACCCCCACCCCTCTCCGGGGAGGAAAAAGTCTGAAAGAAACACTGGTGTCGCGCTTAGCCACTACCCGAAGAATTGCATTAAAGAAATTGCAAGAAAACCACTTTTTAGATTAGACACATTAATTAGGCGGTAATTTTATTATAGAGTATCGATGAAGAAATTTCTTTTGAGTTGGGGGGGGGGGGGCTCAGACGTTCTTACGCGGGGGGTGGGGCTTCGCCCCTACCCGAAGAATTATATGCAAGAAACTCTTCACGCAAACCATTTAGATTAGACAAAATTTCCTTTTTTTCAATGTTTACGCGAGAATCAATGACGTCATATTACTGTGTGCACTCTCTGGTTTGAGATTATGTTCTACTCTATGCAAAATGTGTCGACGTCATATTTCGTTTTTCGAATTACTGTGCATGTTTTTATTTTGCTTGTGTTTTCTCTAGAGCGTTCTTGTCAGACAGAGCGTTCTTGTCAGACAGAGCGTTCTTGTCAGATAGACAGACAGCGAAACTATTATTATAGATAATAAGCCAAATATATCTTTACAATAAAACCAATAAGGCGTATCGCTCTACATACAATTACTACTTATAGCAAATCTTAACATTTTTTGAGTCCGTTTTGTTTTTGAAAAATATAAATAATCTGCTAGTTAGTATGTCTTGAGTTTCTTCTTGCATGGTCACTTATCTGTAGATTTTCTATATGCTTTGCTGACCCCTCCCCCCCCCCCCCCACTCCTCACGTGTAATTTAATATTTAATGATTCATGTTTTTAATGACAATATCAGATATTGTATCATTTTTAACTTCCATAATTATTTCTTTTTTGTTGTTTTTAACAATTTAAAATATAAATGTAATACTATTTTCTTTGCAGACAGTAGATTTTTACAGTAATGAGACGACAGGTAGCTCGTTTGTAGTTCGTAAATCAAGCAATCGATCACAGTTCATCATGGTACGTCTGATCTTGTTACTGTTTCTTGAAGTGTATTTACTTTATTCTGATGTAATCATAGCTTGTCAAGTATTCGCTCATTTATTCTCATTTCTTTTAATTGTGTCTGTTTTTAACACGTTTTTTAAAACGTTTTTCTTAACTCAGCTTCGCGTTTGTTTGTTTGGATGTTTGTTGTTAAAATTGACATCGAAAATTAGCCCACTTCTGATTGCTCTAGAGACCTGAAATTTGGCATGCATGCTACTTTCGCCTAACAATTTCAGATGCAATCATAAAAACTAGCAATTAGTGACCGTAATTAGCTTAATTTAATTACGCCCCAAGGACCATAAAATTGAGGACATGATTTCTAAAGATACCGACAAGACTGCAGTCCTATTGACAGAGTTACTTCGGCCCCAATCGATGTGAGCGCGCTGGCCGTGATCGTATAGTGGTTAGTACTTCGCGTTGTGGCCGCGACAACCCAGGTTCGAATCCTGGTCGCTCAAGATTTTTAGTCCGTGTATTTATAAACACTTTTTTAAAAACCACGTTTTTCATGTGTAGCAACGGACTAAAAAGGAGAAAATAAAATACTTAAAAAAAAACTTTTTAAAAAACCACGTTTTTCTTGTGGACTAAAAAGTAGAAAATAACTATTTACATACATTTGATGACAAAAAACGTGGGTCGGGCAGATGGGTCGGGAAATTTGATGGTGAACGTACCCACGTTTTTTGTCATCAAATGTATGTAAATAGTTATTTTCTACTTTTTAGTCCACAAGAAAAACGTGGTTTTTTAAAAAGTTTTTTTTTAAGTATTTTATATTAACTCAGCTTCGCGTGTGTTTGTTTGTTGTTAAAATTGACATCGAAAATTAGCCCACTTCTGATTGCTCTATAGATCTGAAATTTGGCATGCAGACTACTTTCGCCTAACAATTTCAGATGCAATCATAAAAACTAGCAATTAGAGACCGTAATTAGCTTAATTTAATTACGCCCTAAGGACCATAAAATTGAGGACATGATTTCTAAAGATACCGACAAGACTGAAGGCCTATTGACACAGTTACTTCGGCCCCAATCGATGTGAGCGCGCTGGCCGTGATCGCATAGTGGTTAGTACTTCGCGTTGTGGCCGCGACAACCCAGGTTCGAATCCTGGTCGCTCAAGATTTTTAGTCCGTGTATTTATAAACACTTAGTCAAGTCATACTTAATCAAGTCATTGGATAAAGTAGAAAATAAACTATATAAAAAACTTTTTTTTAAAAACCACGTTTTTCATGTGTAGCAACGGACTAAAAAGGAGAAAATATAATACTTAAAAAAAACTTTTTAAAAAACCACGTTTTTCTTGTGGACTAAAAAGTAGAAAATAACTATTTACATACATTTGATGACAAAAAACTTGGGTCGGGCAGATGGGTCGGGAAATTTGATGGTGAACGTACCCACGTTTTTTGTCATCAAATGTATGTAAATAGTTATTTTCTACTTTTTAGTCCACAAGAAAAACGTGGTTTTTTTAAAAGTTTTTTTTTAAGTATTTTATTACAATCGTATTGATTCGCAATGTATTGTAATAATAGTTCATTTGATTCATAAGAGGAAAACAAAATCTAGCTGAAAATGTTCATATTTATAAAACACTCAATCTTAATATACCTGATTAAGAAAAAAAATTATTGCTTCTATAAAGAAAAGACTAGGTTAAGAGCTATATATACAAATAGTGATGTGTAGGCATTTTACATGGTTTAGGTGAAGTCATATTCGAACCAGTAGTCAGGGCATAGGCTACATGTTATAGGGTAACCTTGTGCCCCTTGGGTTATATTAGCTGCACTCATCCTTCTTGACCACGCCTCTAGATGGGGGGGGGGGGGGTAATTTTATGAAATTCAAACACAGGTGACTATTTTCACTTACCCGTTATGGTTAGTTTTATGTTATGAGATTAAGGTTAGGATTAGACTGAATGTTATGCTTATTTTAATGCCTTTTATTATTACGAGGAACTACCCTAAGACAATCGTAAGCTATATACTCATATGATGTGCATTCATTTCTCAAGAAATTAAGTAAATAATTCGTCATTACATTGTAAGCCGTCACTGGTACATTGTCTACATACTGCATACCTATGTTCCATAGTAGAGTGCAGCAGCTGATTTATACGATGCAAAAACTAAAGGTCAACCCATTAACCTAAATCCGAAATTTATTTGCTTACTTAGTTGAATACCAACACTTTCACAAAACATTAAATGCTGCGTCTACTTATTCATCATCTTTTTTCCATCCCTAAGACAAATAAAGCAGATAAAGTAGTCTTCTTGCTACATGTTACAATTAGATTTTAGCCCAAATTCTGTAGTATATGACGTAAATAAGTCGCGGATTTAAATTTGGTCTAAGTTTCGCATTACCAGGCGACTTTAACTGCCTCATTAGCCATGTCCTTGTAACTTTTATGGTCGCATCCGCTAAACGTTTATGAGCCCGCAGATTAAGGGAACAATCTTTGTAGTGTATTTAACAATTCATGCGTCAACGCGGAGTCGTCATGCGTCAACGTGGAGTCATAGACGCGTCATCTTTACATTCAGAGAAGTTTATGAAGGGGATATGTTTTTATTGCTGGTGTAGAATTTTATAACGCTAGGCACGTTTGTACAGCACTAAGGTAGAAAGACATAATCATTGAAACGACCATAAACATGTGATATATTGTCTATATTCATAGTTAACATAATGTATACATACATGCATATTGCAATAGCGTTGTTAATTAGTAGAGCGCGATTATCAATCAGACCTGTTTGATTCTTCTTTAGTTCTTTTTTAACTTTCCGGGGTTTAAAAATCAATGATTATTAAAGCTTGAATGCCGTAATACAAACGCCTAATGGTTGTGTAAAGTTAATAACGTTCTCGATTGTATAAGTATATATCTTCAACACCTCACAATCCTGTTGCTTGGTACAAAATACTGGATAAGTTACTTAACTCGCCTTATACAACTTCTCCCTATAACTAAACAAAAAATAAATAATTGAAGAAGTCCCTAAACTGGCAATATAGAAAGGAAAACACGGTGCAACCTACTCAACTGGCCGCGCAGATAGCAAACCTGGACGAATCCCTAAACTGGTCTCATAGAGAGAAAAACTAGACAAACCCCTAAACTGGCCACATTGATACGAAAACTGGAAACATCCCAAAACTGGCCATATAGAGTGGAAAACTGGACATCCCTAAACTGGCCACAAAAGCAGGACCATTGGACACATCCCTAAATTGGCCATTGAATGAAAAACTGGACAAATCCCTAATTTATCCTATGGATTTGTCCAAATAGACTGGGACACTGGACATGTCCCTCAACTGACCACAATAGAGCACTAGGCTAGCTCACTAGGCTAGCTCACTAGGCTAGCTCGTAGGCTTGATCACTAGGATAACCACCTAGACTGGAGTACATACATGACATCTAGAGAATGAACGAGGTGCACTATAGATGCAGATGTCTCCTGTGTCGCATGATGTAAATGTTTGTCTTGAGAAAAAAAGACGTTTATTACTTCTTTCTGTAATAAAATTATAATAAATCTGCGCTTTCTTATATAATTTGTTCTCAATGAATAACACGCTCTTAAATGAATATTCAAATTCATAAACTGCTTATGTATTTTGTTACCTTTTCTTAAAAGAGCTAATTTGAATTGCAGGCTTCCGTAATAACTAAAAAAAGTACCTTTTGAATGTTACAGTCTATATGGCATTTGACGTAGATTTCACCTATTTTGAGTGAACTGGCATATGTAGGGAGAATGTGGTCAGCCCAATGCCCAGCCAGCTATACTTAGTTAGATACCCATCATAGATGAGTGGACTCAGTGACGTCCTACGGTCTAAAACCCGTGCCTTAAAAGTTAACTGTCATAATCAATGTGTTTCAGTTTTCATTTAGGTCGACACGCGTTGTGTGAATTCATAATATCCGTTACAGACTAGCATGCATATACGGCATTTGAAGTAGTGTTTAGTGTCTATGAGTTGGGCGTTTTGTAGGGATTGGGCGTTCAACGCTATGCTAGGCCACCTTTACTATCCTCCGCTTCAGTTAGTTACCTATATTGTTAGGTGGACTACTGCACGTATCTTACTTGTGAGCACATAAACCAACTCGAGTGTGTGTTCTCTTCGGAGCCTAGCATAAAATTGTCACTGTTTAAATTTAGTTCTCAGGTGGGGTGCCAGTTCGGTAGGGTAGACGCGGTCGGGTCGGTAATGCACATGATAGCTACACCGCAAAGTCCAAAGTTCGAACCCCTGGGCAGATGAGGCTCGATAGCTGTGGACAGCCACCTATCTAGGAGAGACAACCCACAAATCAAACAACTGCTTCCTTGTAGTTGGTTATTTGTTTGACAAAGGCTATGGAAGCAAAGTCAAGAAGAAAAACAGACTGAAATCGCAAGCAGTGTCCTATAAGCCGCATAACACATTGATATGTAATATTTAATTGTGTTGGAGGAAATCCCTTCCAACATTACAGTTAAGAACTAAGAACCAGAAAACAAGCCAGTTCGACAATTTGTGTGTGTGTGTGTGTTGACAAAGCGCACCAGCTCACCTTCGTTTTTCTAGAACTTTTTTTATTTCGTTTGGCGTCCTAGCCACAAGGCGCTTTACTGCGGTCATTAATTATAATTAGGTAGAAAGGCATCTACAGCACCGTGTGCCGTGGGTAAAGAGTTAAAAAGTTGTTAACATTTTTTCAGGATTAAGTGCGTTGGGAAACATAGGATTTAATGTTAGGAAATTGTTTCAGGGTTTTAAATTTGAATTTTGAAAAAATGTTATGCTTGGATATTTTAATTTTTAATTGTTTTTTTTTCTGAATTTAAAAAGTTAATGAACCTATTTTTATATTTGTTATTGTTTTTTAAATTTAAATTTTTCAAGTCACATTAATTAAGTCATAAATATGACGCAAGTAGTAATTCCATGTACAGTTTTTAAACAAAATGTTTTCAACCAGTTTTAAATGAGGTTAATCCAGTCCGTCTTTTTATATTTTATCATGTTTTATCTTGACTGTTTAAGGCAACATCTTCAACTTAATAAAATTGGGGACGGAGCAGTGGCGTAGCTACCGTAAAGCTAGCGTAATCAAGGCATAGGGGCCCAAGGCAAATAGGGGCCCTTTTTCGAAAGTTTTAGGGGGGGAGGGTGCAAATCGAAAGTCTGAGGGGGGGGGGGGGGTGGGTGCAAATCGAAAGTGTGAGGAGGGGTGCAAATCGAAAGTCTGAGGGGGTGGGGGTGCAAATCGAAAGTTTGAGGAGGGGTGCAAATCGAAAGTCTGAGGGTGTGTGGGGGGGGGGGTGCAAATCGAAAGTTTGTCCCCAGTCGCCGGAAGGGTCGCTAGGCCTCTGAGGGGCCCACTAACACTTTTTGCATAGGGGCCCTAAAATCCTGGGACGGAATGGTCTAGCGGTAAAGGGCTGGACTGCTAACCCGTAAGTCTCGAGTTCAAAACCGGGTTCAAGTCAGTAGACCGTCCCTGAGTACACCCAACTCGGAAGGGTACCTTACTCACGATAGGACAAGTAAAGGCGGCTGGGCATAGTGCTTACTTCATATGCCGAGGTTACAGAAACAAGTGAACTCTACTTCAATTGCCATAGACCGTCAGGTTTTGAAAAGGGAACTTTACTTTTTTACTTCCTCGTATATACGGAGTATAGAGAAAGTATTGTAATCGTGCACAAAAATCACTTGAAATTTTAACAATTTTCACCGTATTACACACCTCAGTCCTTCATCACATCCGAAGTATAGAGGATTTTTTTTAATCGGGCAAAAATTATCAATCCAGATTTATCAAAATTAAGAGAATTTATGCGTAATCCAGTCTGAAAAACTGGGCTTTGCGATTCTGTCCGTATGTCTGTGTGTCTGTGTGTCCGTGTGTAAACACGATAACTTGAGTACCGTTACAGCTAGGTTGATGAAATTTCATATATAAGTATTTTATCAAAATCGTAGATCCGTATCAACTTTTGAGCGATTTCCGATAACCGGAAGTGGTACTTTTTCTACTTTGAATTTTTCAAAAGCCTATAACTTGAATACTATTTCAGATAGATAAATGAAATTTCACATGTAAGTAAAAGATCTAATTCTCTACCTTCTGTTAAATTTTGAGTAATTTCCGTTGACCGGAAGTACTAATTTACGCTATTTCCGATTTCTCAAAAAACTAATGTAAATTTTTAAAGTACTAATAATATTGCGCACTATTATGCACTTTTTTATTTGGCGTTCACTTGGTGTGCAATTCTTTTGTCTACGAGATTTTATTCTATTTTTAAAACTTTAAGTATTTAAAAAGGAATACAAATCATGTCTGTAGCCCGAGTTCCCATCCCCTGCTATTCTATATAAGAATATTCTAGAAAGTTTAGGGGAGATCACTCTCGGTTTATTTATTTTGATTACGACTGATTAATTAACCTCTCCCAGGAAGGATTTTTCTACGACGGTCTGGATCAGCTCCACCTGACACGTGACCCACTGGGTGGCATCCACCAGATCCACAAGATCCCCCGGGAGCTCAACTTTCAGGACGATTACGTCAACGTTATCCCCGCTGAAGGTGACGTCATTTTGTTTCGTTAAGATGGGGAGTTGTTTGACTTTTTATATTGAGTTTACGCATAACAGAGTTCAAATTAGCGCTTGTTTCACTATACCACGTACAATTTAACCTGTGTATTATCTATTTTATGAAACGGCGTGGCCTAGCGGTAGAGTGCTAGACTGCTAACTCGGAAGTCTCGAGCTCGCAGCAATAGAACGTTCTTGAGCTCTTCCGTCTCTGATGTGTACCTAATTCATGTTAGGGAAATAAAAGGCGGCTCGGCATAGTACTGATCTCTCTATCATTCATATGTCGAGGACACATACATAGGTGAACTCTATTTCACTTGCCTCATGTAACGTCAAGAACTTTACTTTTTTTACTATTAACTATTTAGTCATACACGACTTAATGCAAAATATTAAAGCATTTTAAAAAGATCAATTCACTCTGTGTTAATACAATACATAATGTGAACACCGACAAACGCGTAATTTTAACGTTTTATAATAACACATTCGAAGACTTCTTGTTCTTCTTCGTTCTTAATTTTATTTTTAGGAAGGGATCCCCTCCAACACAATTAAGTATACGTGTCAACTGGTTATGCGGCATTAACTCCGATTTCAGCCTGCTTTTCTTTTTGGAACAAACTACAAGGCAGCAGTTGTTTGATTTTGAAGAGTGGCTGTCCCAAACTAACCTGCCCGAGGGTTCGAACTCGAGACTTTTCGGTTTAGCAGCCATGAGCTTTACCGACTCGACCACGTCGACGATTTTCCTCAATAATATTTGTTACAAAAATCACAAATGATAAACGTCTACCTTTTTTTGAGCTATGATGCCAATAGATTAATTTATAACCAACCTTAACGCTGAACCGATACTACATCTAACATATTTATATTGGCAAAAGATAATTAAACATTAAGTCAAATCACTAATCAGCAGGCAAGACTGATAAACGGTTTTAAAAATGTGTTTGTCCCAACAGGCATAACGTCACCGCCGTATACACACACGAAGAAGACGCTCACGCGTGCACGACGTCACATACAGGCTCGCCGTGAGCACGAAATACGGCTGTTTATGGTGTCAGACAGCAAGGATTATCTCAAGTAAGTCAGACACAAGTCGTACTCACGACAGCAAGGATTATCTCAAGTAAGTCAAACACAAGTCGTACTCACGACAGCAAGGATTATCTCAAGTAAGTCAGGCACAAGTCGTACTCACGACAGCAAGGATTATCTCAAGTAAGTCAAACACAAATCGTACTCACGACAGCAAGGATTATCTCAAGTAAGTCAAACACAAATCGTACTCACGACAGCAAGGATTATCTCAAGTAAGTCAGGCAAAAGTCGTACTCACGACAGCAAGGATTATCTCAAGTAAGTCAGACACAAGTCGTACTCACGACAGCAAGGATTATCTCAAGTAAGTCAGACACAAGTCGTACTCACGACAGCAAGGATTATCTCAAGTAAGTCAGACAGGACTATGTTAGGGAGAAAGGAATATTTTTTTTTTAATGCTGGTATTATAAAATGACTAAGTATGAATGGCATAGCGGCAGAGCGATAGACTGTTAATTCGCAAGTCTCGAGTTCGAATCCGGGTTCAAGTCAGTGGAGCGTCCCTGAGTCCACCCATCTCTTATGGGTACCTAACACACGTTAGGGACAGTAAAGATGGCCGGGCATAGAGCTAACCACATTATCCCATTATATGCCGATGTAAAGAAACATTTAAATTAATTCATCGGCTCAATGGATAACAAGATCTCAAGAGGAATCTTTACTTTTTAAAAAAAATATTAACGAGAAATATACAGTATGCACACAACTAAATAAAAACCAGTGTAATCTATATATTGAATGTTTGATCGCGTAATACGTTAATGCATTGGAGGAAACCCCTAACTACATTAAAAAGAACAAGAAAAGTTGGATTAATTTAAAAAAAATAATAATTTAGAAGTAATGTTTGATCACTTTTAGAAATAATTTAGACATAAATAAACCTAAACATAGAATAAACCGACCATTCAGGTTTAATGAAATAAAGGTTAGTTCTAAATATAGATGTTAGATAGAACTAACAAATACTCTGTTACAGCTGGCTACAGTACTACAAGAACAATTCGACACTAACAGAGATAGAGATGCACCTGTATTACGCATTCGTGGCTAACTCTGTGAGTCTAATCACCTTAACAATGACTATTCGAATACACATGTACATATTTTAAAAAAAATTAATATCAACAATACACCTATAATTTTTGTTTTAATGCCTATTTACACAACTAATGTAAATATGTTTTTAAATGTTTTGAAAATATTTTTAAAATTTTTTAACATCCACTATTTACCTGTTATTTATTTTTTTAAATCATATTTACAGAACGCATGTAAATATGTTTTTAAATATGTTTTACAATGTCTAATTTTAGATGAACATCCGCTACAGCAGTGTCAATCTTGTTGACCCAACCTTCAGTCTCTCTATCGTCATCACTGGCCTTCTGATTGTCAATGTAAGTTTTTAGTAGACACCGCATGTACCTGTCTAAATATACATATCGAAGTCATCTTTTTTTTCTTCTATTTTTGATTAGTGTGTTAACTTCCCCTTTGGAACCTAAAACTCCTTAGAGAAAAAGAAGTAGAGTTCGTATGTTTTTGTTTTGCTTAAACATATTAAAGTATTGTGTGTGTAGCACTTTGCCCAGCAGGGTTTACTTCCTTTACTGAAGTCATGTACACAAGCGAGCTGGGGTTGATTCAGGGTCGTATGCAGACTCCGGATCAAGATCCAAACTCGTGACTTTTGAGTTAGAAGTCGAACGCTTTAACACCCAACCATGCCAGTGATAATGCGTTTGAAAAATAGTTTAAAATCTAAATAAACCAAATAAAGTAAGCACAGTAAAGAATCATCTTAAGACCTATCGATCCATTGGGCTGATGAAGTAGAGATCATATATTTCTTGAAATCGGAATATGAAGGGAAGGTGTGGTCAGCAATTTGCTCAGCCGCCTTAACAATGTAGACTCAGGTACTTTCTACTCACTTGGACCCCGATTCGAACTCGAGAGTTTCGTGTTAGCGCCCTAGCGCTCTACCGCTTAGGCAACGCCGTCCTGTAAATTAATTTAATGAAGTTTAGACATTGTTTTCCTTACATAAATATACACTTATAAAATAAAATAAAAATAAAATTTAAAAATAATCTTAAAACAAACATACTTTGATCTCTTATCAGCCATCATCTAGCTACGTTAATGTTTTTAACCAACATCTGTTGACCTTATAGTCCCAGTCGGTCAGCTCCTGGACTGAGGTCAACACAAGATTCCCCGGGTCACATTTTGTTGACGGCAACATGGCGCTAGAGTCGTTTGGGATGTGGGTCAAGAAGGCCAACCCCACCCTGCCTCTTAGCGATCACTGGATGCTCTTTACAGGGTAGGTTCTAGGGGGGAGGTTGTCAGGGCAGGTTGTCAGGGGGAGGTTGTCAGGGGTAGGTTGTCAGGGTTGGTTGTCAGAGGAGGTTGTCAGGGAAGGTTGTCAGAGTAGGTTGTCAGGGTAGGTTGTCAGGGGTAGGTTGTCAGGATAGGTTGTCAGGGGTAGGTTTTCAGGGGTAGGCTGTTATTGGAGGTTGTCATTGTACATGGTCATGGAAGGTTGTCCGGAGAAGTTGTTTAGGGGAGGTTGTCATGGATACGTACATGATAGGTTAAAAAATAACTTATAAGGTGCGTTTACAGGCAGGTTTACATTGTTGTTCTACGGCGTATCACATATTAGATTTACTTTATTGAAAGTGTGTATTATAATACGATATATATATATATATATATATATATATATATATATATATATATATATATATATATATATATATATACATACATACATACATATACACACATATATATATATATATATATATATATATATATATATATATATATATATATATATATATATATATATATATATATATATATATATATATATATACTAAAAGTCAAGTTTGTTTACATGTTTGAATATTTATTTTTTTGTTTGTTTGTTTGTTTGGCTGATTGACTATTGCGCATGGTTGCACTCATCGTGGAGAGCTGTAAAATAGTATGTAGGTAGAGAACAATTTTTGTTTTCAGACAGACTGTTAATCACACATTTATTTAAAGACGTTAATTAATTTATTGATTTATTCATACGTAGAGTAACCCTATTTTTTTAAAAAGATTAGAACGACCACTACACTCGGCGGGACCGTGACATCACAGTTTTTTGTTTACTCTTTAGTACAATAAAATGGCGGCGTCTATCGAAGAAAATTGTGTTCCCATTCAAAAGTTTAACGCGTTCTAAATCTAATTTTCTGTCGGTCATAACTTTAACAATACGTCCGTTTGCTGTATTTATTACGTTCCAACACTTATATCAATTTTCAACTGTCTTTTTTCATTTAGTTTTACAATAAATTTCTCTAGATCTAAAGATCAGCTGTCGAAGGAAAGTTATGAATCTAGCCTAGATCTAGATCTAGCATAGATCTAGGTCACTAGACTCAATGTAAATTCTAGATCTAGACTTAATGTAAATTCTACATCTAGAATCTGTTTCAGGCCTTAATACATCTAGAATCTATTTCAGGCCTTAATTATTTTATATAAATCTTTGTTTGGCTAATTTAAGATAAAATTTAATTTGAAAGTTACTACTACTAGACTTAGATCTAGATCTATGCGCGTAAATCAAGTTGCATAAGGAGACTCAAAGTATAGAATAAAAATTCATTTGTGACGTCACGAGTAAATAGCTAAGTTGGTAGTGAAGTCGGCTCTCATGCGGGTGGCACAGGTTCTAGACCAATATGTCAATGATATTTTTTTTTCATTTTTTTTTTTTAGATGTGAATGATAAAGTTGCCTATCTGAACTTGGCAGGATACAGGGCAGGTGAAGGGGGGGGGGGGGGTTCAAATGGAAAAGTTTGTCCCCGGGCGCCGGGAAGGGTCGCTATGCCTCTGAGTGACAGACGTGATGTTTTTTGATGGATGACCCCCGAAACCCACAGTTATCCAACGGATGACGGGTATTCTAGTATATATATATATATATATATATATATATATATATATATATATACTTGGGAGGTTTCGATTTCGCTGGATGTAGGCTCATTTTAAAATAAAGGTTTACATAGCAGGTGTTTTTATTTGACTTGCGATGTATCATAACGATTTATAATTTAATTCAGGTATTTTTTATTGTTAAAAATTCCATTCTTTTTAGAGGGATTAAAATTAATCAACAAAAAAAACAACATTAAATGGTGAAAAATGTCACTCTTGTAGTCTAGTGTAGAACTAATTCACTTGAAAATATTTTTACAGTTATGACATCTTTAGCGGTACCAATTGGAAAGTGATGGGTAAATATTTTTATAATGTTGTTTACTCTGTTTATTTTTCTTATATGCTCAAATTATATTCTCTGGAAGGTTGGTCCAGCTTATAAATGGGCCTGAAAACACAGCTACCTTTAAATTCCAAAATATACAAAACAAAACTATTGATTTGATAAATTAAAAGCTAGTCAGATTTAGGTTATAGATTCTACTTTGAAAACTGTAATGTGTTACTTATTTTAAAACTGACGGTCAATTGAACAGAACAAATAGAGTTTATGTCACGTGTGTCATGGATCCATCAGAACTGGTTTAACGAGTGAACGTCATACGTACTTTAGCTTGCGATTCGAACTCGAGACTTTCTGATTAGCAGGCATGCGCTCTACCAGCCGACCACTCCGCCCCAAAATATCGTTACACGTGTTGCATGTTATCCCCCAGGTATAGCCAAGCTGGGCGGGATGTGTTCCACGTCATCCATCTCCATCATTGAACAGGACAATTCTGGAAGTGTTGGTGCCACAGCAGCCCACGAACTGGGTCACAGGTAACCATAGTAACTGTTACCACAAGTAACCACAGTAATTGTTACCACAGGTAACCATACTATTTGTGATGACATGTAACTATGGTAATTGCTACCACAGGAAATGGTAGTAACTGTTTACCACAACTAACCTTAGTAACTGCTACATGTATTCTTCTTCCTCGTTCAAAATTGAAATATTGGAGTCGATATCCTCCAACACAGTAAAGTGTTACATATCGAACTGCATTTTGCCATATTATAGGGCTGGTAAGTAGGTCACCAACCAGTTCTACGGCTCAATAAAACCTGCATGAGCCATAGAACTGGTTGTTGACCTACTTACCAGCCCTATACCGCCTTGAGATTTCAGTCTGCTTTTCTTTCTGTATCAACTCTCATAGCCTATGTCCAATTACAAACAAGACTGCTGTTGTTTATTATTAGTGATTTTTCTACTATATGGGTTGCTGTTTACAGCTGGTTTTAGAATTTTTGCCCGATTAAAATAAGTCCCTATAAACTGTCAAAATTTCATGTGATTTTTGTGCACGATTACGAAATTTTATACTCTGTATACGAGAAAGTAAAAATAAAGAAAAATTATAATGGATTAAAATCATGCAGATCTATATATCCCGAGTTGCGATCACCGAAATGCTATTTAAGAATATTCGATAAAGTTGATGGTACATCTCAGCTTTATTTTTCTTTTAGTAATTACCACTCATTTATTGATTTATTACCCTATGTAGGAATTGAAACATAGTCTTTTAGACTCATTATGCTCCTCTCCATGGAAATCTTTGGAATTTTTTTTTTTTTTAAATTTTTAAAAATTTTATTTTCAAATAGTTAGCAGACGTGAGGAAGTGGACATGAGTGAACAATTAAGAAATCGAACGAATAATTTTTAAAACTAAAATGCTTATAAAATCAAATATAGTTATCGTAATTTATAATTTCATGTGACACAAAAACAATATTTGCTTGTTTTAAATATTTATCACAACATTGTTTAAGCACATTATTACTGTATTAAATAAATGTAAAGTGCTTCAACCGTAATAGTTTTAAGGGAAAAAACGTATATTATAGAAAAACATATAACATTAAGCGTATTACTTCGCTTGGTTATTTTAAAACTTTTCTTTTTAATCTCTCTAAATTCCATAAGAACAATAGTAAAGCATAATAGTCCTTGCGAACCTTACACTTTTATTTTATCTCATAACTTTTATTAGAAACTTAAACAGGAATTCTGTACCAATGTACTATAATAGATCATAATTTATGAAATAAATGCGAGTATCTAAATATCTATTGAAATATCTTTCCATTCATTCCAACCCCCTCCCAGCCTAGGTGCGATCCACGACGGGGAAGAAAAAGACTGTCTGGACGAAGACAATTACGTCATGTCTAAGAAACTTACGCCCCCAGTCGACGAGAAAAGCGCGTCACGGCCTTGGTTGTTCTCAGTGTGTTCGGTGCGGGCTTTCAAGAGGTTTCTTTCCAAGTGAGTGTTTAGTGGTATGCTGTGGTGGTGGTGTGTTTAGTGGTGTGCTGCGGTGGTGGTGTGTTTAGTGGTATGCTGTGGCGGTGATGGGCGTCTAGATGGGTAGCCAGTGCCAAAGATTGTTGTAGGCATCTCATCGGAGTAGTGCCCTCCTCCTCCCCCCCCCCGAAGCACGTCCATCGTCACTCCCAGCCATGGCCGGTGCTACTAAGGCGTCGCCTAGGGCCCATCCCAAGGTGGGGGGGGGGGGGGGAGCGCAAAAAGGTTTAATCACTATTATAAAAAGTATGTAATAGTTAATAATTTTGATTATCTTTTATAAACTATAGATGGTAATATAGAAAGGAGTAGCGATCAATTTCGGCGCCCTGGACGAACTATCAATTTTGCGCCCCTACCCCCAAATTAGGCCCATATAGGCCCATATGTGTTCGCGTTGGTGAAAATGCACCCCCACCTCCTTAATTTGGAAACGTCAGTGCGCTTTTGACGAGTCACTATGCCTTTTTATTTTGGTGTCACATAATTGAAGTAGAAAACGATTAAATTAGTTCGAACATTTCAAACGGTTATCTTATTTTAATGTTGATTTACTGATCGCTCCAGCGCATGACGTTCCAAAACAAATGCAATTTTGGGTTTTAATAGGGCTTGTAAATCTCGTTTTCTCTGACTTTGAATTAGAAATATGTTCTGGTGTATAGAGTTTTGTAATGACGGGGTATTCAAAGTATTGTACTTGTTTGGTAAGTTTTGATGGATCGTTTAGATTTGGGAGTAACGATAGAATGCTATTGCTGTTATGGCTTCGTAGGTATGAAATATCGGTTCTTAAAGTGTTAAAGCATCGTATTTTTTATTTGGCTGTTGTTGTGTAGCTGAAGGTCTAGTAGAATCTGATTGATAGTAAAAAAATGCGAATGTAGATGTTGAAGTATCGTCGTTCTGGAGTTCGGGAGTATCGAGTCTTGTGGTATCGAGTGTATTAAATCGTAGCGTGTAGTAGTAGGTCCAGTGAAATCGTTGTTGATTTGGAGTATCGTTTGTAGAGCTTGGTGAAGTTAAGCGAGTTGGTGTCGTAGCTCGGGAGCATCGAGTCTAGTTATGTTTAAGTATCGAAGTTTTATATGTGTTGCGAATGTAGTAGAGTATATCGAGTAGTCGAGTTTATTGTAAGTTAGATGATTTCAATTCACGACGGAACACACTACAAAGAAAGGTAGGCGTCCTCTAGCTAAAAAAATTCATCAGTTTTTTAGAAATCTATATCACCACTCTTAAAGTATTAATATATAATATTAAATAGGGTGGAATATATAACTAACAGTAAACTTTGTTTTTTCAAATACTATTTTTGCAGTAGTTAATCAATAATTATTTCAGTATCCTAAAAAGTTACCCGTATTTGATTTTTTTGAAAAGCGTCCCTCAACTTAGGGGATCCAAAATTTTTGGTAAAATCAGTAATATACGCACACAATTAAATTTGTCATCAAAATTGACTACAACTATGTTATAATAAAGCTACCGTATTTAGACTTTCAAACACAACCTACAGTTAAGTAGTCAATGAGTAAAATATATTCTTTTTACATAGCTACATAGTTAATATAAAAGATTTCATGTAATTTTTACCTAATAAAACTTAGAATGTTTTATTGTGTTTTTCAAGAATGTCTTAGTTACACTTAGTTAATTTATTAGCTTTTATTGTGAAAGTTATTTCCCTTGTATAAGATTTTGGTATTTGAATTTACGAATGGGAGATAATTCGTTGCTTAACTTTACATTCATTTCAAATTCCTGCACCTAAGGTTGACCGCTTACTTATAAATACAACTTTAAGTTATTATTTGCTATTGTAAAAATTATATAGAGCAGAAGTTCTAAAGAAAATAGTTTGGTAGGTTTATTTTCATTATCACGTTGAAAAACAAATACACAAACTTTTGCGATTGAAGGATGCAAGTAAAATTTGATTTTTGATGTCTACTTATAACGTGTATGCAATTTATAATAAATTAATATGTCGTTTTTAATTAATTGTTTTCTAATACATATCTTTTAGTAATAAATTTGTGTGAAAGAGGGTGTTTTAATAAGTTTTGCCTAGGGCTCTAAATAGCTTTGCGAGCGGTAAAAGGTCTTAATTAGTGTCCAATATGACAAGTGTTGATTGTCTAAATAAGTACACTAGGAAGATCGCTACGTCTGATCATATTTTTAACTTTTGCATTAACATTTTTTGCTTCTTTCGTTGTTTTATGCATACTGTTACGCTTACTTTAAGTATTGTCTACATTTGATGATTACCTTGTATGGTATTTTAGCCTAGAATGCACGAGAAAAAATTCCCGGGGGTTGTCCGTGTTGTCCACCAGTCTACACCCAGGTCAGGTGTTTTCTGCAGACGTTCAGTGCCAACTGGCAATAGGAAACAGGTCATACTTCTCTAGGGTAAGATATTTTGGTCACACCATTTGGAATATTCGTATCTTAAAGAATGTTGCATTTACATTTTATTAAAGACCTAACATACATAGACAAACACTTATCTAGACGACGACCAACTAAAAGTACACTAATCTATGCTAATCTAGAGGTATGCTACATTTCGACTAATCTAGACATGCCTATTCCATACATGTACTAATCTAGACAATCGCTAATCTAAACATACACTAATCTATACCTACAATGATCTTAAGGTACACTAATATATACATATACTAATCTAGACCTACACTAATCCAGACCTACACTAATCCAGACCAAGACTAATCCAGACCTACATAATCCAGACCTACACTATACCAGACCTACACTATACCAGACCTACACTATACCAGACCTACACTATACCAGACCTACACTATACCAGACCTACACTATACCAGACCTACACTATACCAGACCTACACTATATCAGACCTACACTATACCAGACCTACACTATACCTGACCTACACTAATCCAGACCTACACTTATCCAGACCTACACTAATCCAGACCTACTCTAATCCAGACCTACACTAATCCAGACCTACACGAATCTAGACCTACACTAATCCAGACCTGCACTAATCCAGACCTACACTAATCCAGACCTACACTAATCCAGACCTACACTAATCCATACACTAATCCAGACCTACACTAATCCAGACCTACACTAATCCAGACCTACAGTAATCCAGACCTACACTAATCCAGACCTACACTAATCCAGACCTACACTAATCCAGACCTGCACTAATCCAGACCTACACTAATCCAGACCTACACTAATCCAGACCTACACTAATCCATACACTAATCCAGACCTACACTAATCCAGACCTACACTAATCCAGACCTACAGTAATCCAGACCTACAATAATCCAGACCTACACTAATCCAGACCTACACTAATCCAGACCTACACTAATCCATACACTAGTCCAGACCTACAATAATCCAGACCTACACTAATCCAGACCTACAGTAATCCAAACCTACACTAATCCAGACCTACACTATACCAGACCTACACTACTAGACCTACACTAATCCATACACTAGTCCAGACCTACACTAATCCAGACCTACACTAATCCAGACCTACAGTAATCCAAACCTACACTAATCCAGACCTACACTATACCAGACCTACACTAATCCAGACCTACACCACAAGACCTACACCACAAGACCTACAAAGACCTCATGTTTCTGTCCCCCACAGAGCATGCAGCTCCGGGACGGTGACTACTCCAGTCTATGTCGCCGGATGTTCTGTACGGTGCCAGATATGTTGGGCTACTTCCAGCCTACTTTTGCTATGGAGAGGACATCCTGTGGGGATAGAAAGGTGGGTTTGTTGTGTGGGGTGTGAATGTGAGTGTGTGTATGTGTGTATGTGTGGGGGAGGTTGTGTGTTGGTGGTGGGTGTGTATTTATGGCGTGGGGTGTCGACTTGTGTGTGAGGGGGAATGTGTGTGTATTTGTAGTTTAGGTTGTGTATTTATAGTATGGGTGTGTATTTGTGAAGTGTGCGTTTGTGTGTTTTCAATTCTACTTCTGCGTAAAAATAAAAAATTCTACACTTTAAAAAAAAATCCGTTAAAATAAAATCTAATTTAAAAAATCACTATGTTTGTTATTGAAGTAACTACAATAAAACCAAAATTATATGTGTAGTTATTTCTTTGCATACCCTTTCGAAACATTAATAATTACTTCGTGCGTAACGTAGTTGCGCTATTTGTAAGTTATATTTTACTGTACTTAACCCTACACTTCAATATTTCTCTACAGTGGTGCCAACGTGGGGTCTGTGAATACAATGCGGATGCCCCAGAGACAGAAGGTAGCTACTGTTTTCTTACCCACTACATGTGTAATACGTATATCGTTAAAAATATGGGACGGTGTGGTCTAGCGGTATAGAGCTAGACAGCAAACCTAAGAGTCTCGAGTTCGAATCCGGGTTCAAGTCCCCGAGTCCACTAAAGGCGGTTAGGCATTGTACTGACCACACTGTATCTCAACATACTCCGAGGTCTCTTCATCTGCACCAAATAAAGATATGCGAATTGTAAATTAAAACAAACGGCAATAATATCTGGTTGGATTGTTTGATCGTTTTGCATTGTCATGACTGCTATTGTGTTATCGGCTTTGTAAGAGGGAAAAGCGCATTTTTGCTAACCCAAAATGTCCCGAGTTGGAACCCCCGGGTAGATGAGGCTGATATCAACAGTGGATGAAAACTACAAAATCAGACAGCAGTTCCGTCTCTTTGTTGATGGTACTATCAACAAGGCTACGAACACAGTCACACCAAATACCTAATTGAATGCTATGTCCAAAAACAGCGAACTAACTTTTATGCCCTATCTCTCTATCTCTTGGTCTTTATCTCTCTCTCTCTCTCTCTCTCTCCATCTCTCTTCCTCCCTCCTTCTCTCTCTCACTCTCTTTTACACCAACGAGAATCTTAAGTTAAAATATTTAACTTCACAATAGGAATTTCCATTTATATCTGTTCGATAACATAATATTATTTTACTTCGGTTCGTATTATGTGTAAGCAAACTTGAACAGTGCGTAATTAACTATATCGAGCCGACCCGCGGCGTATCATACGCCGCTATTTAGTTGTTTTATTTTCTAGTTTTCAGTAATTCATAATTTGTGAATTCGACAGTACCAACGCTACCACTGAAAATATTTACTTTAACACACTATCAGTAGACAATACCCCCCAACCCCTCCTTTCCCCAACCCCTACCCCCCACGTCAAAGTAAACTCCTCTTAGTTACCTTCCCTAAGTTTAAAATCGTTTCAAACAAAATTATCTGCCCCTAATAGCCGTCACTAAACCCGGCTCTACGATTGTAAACATTTAACGTGAACCACAGCTCACAAGATCATGTAGGGGTGGGGGGTAGTAGGGAGCGCGCTTACAGCTTGGTTTTTTTCTAACGTCTCCAAGAAGAGCATTATATAATAGATAAGATAAGCCGCTTAAAATAAAACAATAGATGATCTATCGCAGTGGTTCTTAACCTGGGTTCAAAAGAAACCCAGGGGTTCGGTGTGTCAGTCTCAGGGGTTTGGCTGAGGTCAAGAAACTCACCCGACTTAAACTATTCTCGATCGGGTATTATCAGTACTGACGATAGATAATTTTAAAAAAAGAGGTTTGTATGTATGTTATATTTAGTTATACAAAAGTTTGAAGACAAGTCCGATAACCCTAGGCTTAACGTATAGATCGCCTATGACTAACCTACCTTCATAGACAAGGTAATGTCCGATGTATGTTATAGTTAGTCTTTTAAACTTTGAAGACACTTCCGATAACCCTAGTCTTTACGCGCATATATTTGTAAATAGATAGCTTTGACAAAACTATATTCATAGACAATGTAATATCTGATATTTGTTATATTTAGAAATAAAACCTTTGAAGACAAGTCCGAAAACCCTAGTCTTCACGCGTATATATTTGTAAAAAGATGACTTGTGAGTAAACAATTCATAGACAATGTAATGTCCGATATATGCTATAGTTAGTTATAAAACTTTGAAGACTAGTCCGATAACTCTAGTCTTTACGCGAAGATATTTGTTATATTTAGTTATAAACCTTTGTAGACAAGTCCGATAACTCTAGTCTTTACGTGCATTTGTTATATCTAGTTATAAACCTTTGTAGACAAGTCCGATAACTCTAGTCTTTACGCGCATATATTTGTAAATAGATGACTGCCCACAGGGTGACGACCCCACTGCCCCATGCCTGGAGAAGGACTGCCCCTACTACACGCCCCGCACCATCAGGATCTTCTGCTGCCACACATGTAGGAACACAGCCTCGATGTGGCTGACTAGCAAGGCGGCGGAGGTCCCTATCGTCAGGAAAGTATGTTCGTCGTTTATAATTGTTTTAATAACTTAATTAAATAGAATTTGTATTTTCGTGGGATGGCGTGGTAGGGTGGTAGATTATATGACTGCTAACCCGAAAGTCTCGAGTTCGAATATTGGGTTCGTGTCAGTAGAACATACCTGAGTCCATCCAGGTCTGACGTTTGGGAAAATAACACGGCTGAGTGTAGTGCTGACCACACTATCCCTTCATATGCCGATGCAACTAAAACAGGTGAATTTTATTTCACCTGTCAGATGGACCGTCAGGTTCGACAGGGTACTTAATTACTTTATTAATATTGTAATTTCAGGAACTTTTTTTGTAATTATTAGTGTTGTAACACTGATGTATGTGCCCTTAATGTATTGTTTCTGTGCACAGTATACATAAATATTTTTTTATAATTTTAATTTCGTGATATTTTTTTTTCAAATTTGTATTGTTTCATGCTGTTTTCTATATTTTTTTAAAAGCTCTCTTAATCAATTTAAGAAAATAAGATATAGGCCCTACTGACTCATTATTCAATTGACTATTGTTGCATATTTCACTATCACGCTCATTTATCTTATGAATGTTATACTTCACTTTGAGACTCATGTATCTAATAACAGTAAAAGCAGAGCTTTCTTCCAGGCATCTCTTCGGGGGGGGGGGGGGTTTGGGGAAACGGGTGGGGGTTTTACCCCCCCCCCCCCCCCGAACGAAATGGAATTTATATAGAAAATATATACTTTTAACAGTAATCGCCCCCCCCCCCCGGAAATTTTAGTCCGCCCCCTCGATAATTCCAAGTGCCCCCCCCCCCCTCGGAGAAAAAAGCATGGAAGAACACTGAGTAAAAGTTGTTATATGGTACACTTTCTGACTCAATTATCTAATATTGTTTATTTCACTACCAGATCCGTTTATCTAATGACTCTTGTATATTTCACTTTCTAATCAATTTATTAGTGACAGTAAGATGTTGTGTGTTTAACTTTCTGACTCATTTATCTAATGACAGTTGTATATTTTGTCAACTAGATTCAGGCAGATCCACGTCAGCCAACCAGGCAAGGATCCACAACATCCACCATCAGAGGTCTGACGTTACCTGGCGCAACAGTTACCGTGAAAACAGCCACCACAATACCCCCTTCATCACAGCAAGCAATGCAAGAAAACAACAGACAAAAACCAACTGATCCAATTACTACACAAACACCGTTGTCTACAGGCGGGATTGGTCTAGCTACCCCAACCACCGAGCCCTATACAAATCAGCCATCAACATCTGCAGCACTTACTCCGGTGCAGACAAACACGGCAGATAATGCCACGGTGGATCGGTCTACTGTGACCGCTGCCTCGAATACTGGTACCACTCCACAGTATGACGCCGCTCAGAATTTGAGAACCACTCCACAAGAACTAAATAATTCTAATACTAATTACATTCAACAAACGACATCAAATATACCCACATCAACCGGTATGTTGTTAATGTTCTAAACTGACTTTGTTTGTGCGTGGTCGAATGGTAGAGCATAGACTGATAAACCTGAAGTTTAAGTTCCAATACGGGATTAAAGTGCAAAAAAAAACGCTCCAAGTTCACCCAGTTTATATGGGTACCTGACTATGTTAGGGAAGTAAAGCCGGCTGATAGTATTGCTGATCACACTATTCCTTCATATGCCGATGTCACGTAACTCTTCTTCACTTGCCCCATGAACCGTCAGGTTCGTAAGGGAACTTTTTACTCTGGTTGTATATAGAAACACCATCAATGTATAGCATTGAGAGTATACTAACTTTTTCGCACTAAAATATAGGCTACGTACTTTAAACTATACTATCATCGTCATTTTGTGTTAGTTCTCAAGCCAAAGCAGATAAAGTTAATTGCATCTGTTTCAAATGTGTATGTGTACAAAGGGATTGTGTGGTCAGTACTTTGGCCCCGAATTAAATCATAACTTACTTTAATTTGTCTCAAAGATAAGAACGATTTAATTCAAAACATTACAGATAGAGATAGAGATGGGAATTTGAAACATTTAATTTTTTTTATTTTCAGATTCAAACTCCTCCAGTTTGGACATGGCTTCCAGCTTTAACATTGAGAATGTAACGTTACCGAACTCAATTTCAGAACACAATGTATCGGAGTCTAATCCTTCTTCAAACGGTGTTAAACTGGTATCGCAGCAATCTGTTGTATCTTCAGATAAACACAATCAGTCTGTACCTAATGCTAGTATCATTAGACCATTCGACACTGCTAGTAGTATCAATCAAATTTATGATGGTAGTTCTAACAGTATCACCAAGAGCTCAAATGATACAACGAACATATCTCAACAACAAGTGTTTAGATCAACTCGCCCAGCGGGTTATGATGTTGATTTAAAAAATATATCACTTGTTTCTCCCCAAGAAATTAATATTCGATCAGATAAAGATCAGTCTGGAGCTACATCGAATCAAACAAAACAATCAGATACTTTGCAACAAAACTCACAACCAAATACAGTTAGACCTGCAACAGTTGTATCGTACAGGGAGGTAACAAACAATGAACTAAAGCCTACGGTAGTCAAGAACATATCGGAGACTACTCTTGAAGTTCAGAATGCTGTACCCCGTCAAGGTGGTTCTGTTTTAACATCGATACTTCTAAAACAAGTACAGTTGAACACAACTACACTTCTATCAAAACAAATACATAACGAAAGAAAATTTCCGGATTCTTCCGTTGCTTCAAACGAGCAGAGAAACGCAAACCAGCCGTATACAGTCTTAACGTTAGAAGGCTTACAGACTAACTCCCAACTTCAGGAAAGTGATTTATTCATGCCCACCAAAAGCAGATACACTCTCGCTCAACTTGGCAATAGGATTCATGGCTTCGAGGCTGTAGAGAACAGTCACCAAGACAACAACAACAACAACATCAGCAGGCTAGACTTGAACCCTACATCATCGTCTCGACTCACCAACCCCACGCAACCGGATGTCGTCCTCAGCACAAAAGACAACTACTCACCACTAATATCCGGGCTAAAAGCATTTTTTCCTACCGATATGGAGATAAGGAATGCTTTAACTAATGACCAGTTCTACCGATCTACGAATGAACAAACGTATTCAGCAAATCGTGATCAAGCTTACGGACAAGCGTATCTTTCAACGAGTGACCAACTATACAATTCAGCCAGCGATGGGTTACAGCAAGTTAACGATAAATCAATGAACAGTGTTCAACGTTACCCGACTTCACAATTTCAAACGGAATCGGCTTGGTTTAGTTCATTACCTAATCAGAAACCAACAAGTCTTCAAGACTTCTTAGACAGCTTCAGTCTTCTTCAGAATCAACCACAAACAAGTCACCCAAAAAACTCTTCAAGCTCTAAGAGTATCAGCTTTAACCTAAGCATCAACTTACTCAATGACTCTAAACAAGAACCAAGTCTTCACCAAATTCTAACCCGCATACATCCCCAACCCAACGCCACATCACACCAACCGAACAACCACACCTCGAACATGCTCAGTAAACCAACCACCAGCCGACCCAGGTTCGACCCCCACCCAGCCTTACACCACTGCAACTTTCAGTGCGTCTACTACAGGGAACCCTCCACCCCTGACAACGCCTGGTTCGACCCCCTCAAGCTAAATTTACGAGAAGCTTCTAGAACTATTGATAAACAAGGCAGAGCTATCACCTCTGAAACAGCCAACCCTGCACCCATCGTCTCTGAGCCAACCCCACAGCAAATATCCTTGAGTACAACACCAAATATTTTAAACATTCAACCCGTGTGATCTATACAAAACATTGAATTATATACACTTTTATTTATTAGCGTTGAACATAATATGTACTGTAGGTAATAAATTATTGTTTAAATAACTAATAGTATTTTACCTTGAATGCTCCATAAATCATCTATACAGATTTCGAAAATTGATGGTTATAATTCCGTACTGGTTGTGCATATATAAGTATTTAGACGTCAGATGCCTTATATGAAAGCTCTGTTAAGCAGAAGTGGATTAACTTTGTCCAAGGGGCCCGAAAAATGTTATAATGGGCTCCCAACCTGAGATAAAAAAATGTATTGTGCATTAGTTCCCCATGAGCTTCTATAGTTATCTTTGGCTGAAGCAAACTCAAGAGATAAATCATTAAAATACAAAAGAAAAGCACAAATAAGAACTGTTCTCAAGGGTGCTACAGGATTTTTTCCCCTGGCCACCCACAGGGAATGTTTTCATGTAGGTCGGCGGGCCAGCCAGCCTCTGATGTTAAGACTCGCTCGGTAATGTGTGTCGGTTCCTCACTCACCAGAAATACACAATTTGAACTTTTAGAGTCAGAGTTTCTTCCAGGCATCTACCCTTGCTCATGAGTGGGGGGGGGGGGGGGGCAATACGGGCAGTGTTTCTTCCAGACTTTTTTCTCCGGGGGGGGGGGGGGGTGGCACTTGAAATTTTCAGGGGGCAGTAGACTTTCTTCGGGGGGCGGACACTGTTAAAAGTATATATTTTCTATATAAATGTCTTTTCGTTCGGGGGGGGGGGGGGCGGTAGACTTTTTTCGGGGGGAGGGGGGCAGAGCCTGGAAGAGATGCCTGGAAGAAACTATGAAGCAGGTCTAGGCGCTGGTAACGTGGGTGAAAGAAATGCTCGATTCTTAACCCCGTTGAAATCTTCTTGGCTAATAAGCATTAATTGAGTCAGTTATGACCGTATACCATAGAAAGGAAAATAAATCTACAACACTTAACGGAAGTAGGTGTGTCGTACCTGATTAGTAATTGGTGTGTTTCTAACTTACTGAAGTAACATGGAAAAACGGATCTGAAAATAGTTCGTGGCATCACGAGAATGAAAGATAAGATAAGAAAAGCAATCGGTGGTCAAGTCAAGTCAAGACATTTTTAAGAACAAAAGTTAGTTTTTGTTAACTTTGTACTGGGTTGGATAAGACACATCGGTGTCAGTGTATCCATCGAATAGATAAATTTGGGTCATGTGAGTATTATCTATCTTTTCTCAATACACATGGGACGGATGAAGTAGAGTTAATCAGCTTCAGAGATCTCGGTATATGAAGGTATAGTGTTGTCAGCACTATGTCCAGCAGTGTTTGTTTTCCTTAACGTGAGTTAGGTACCCATCAGAGCTGGATAGACGCTGGAATTTTCTACTGACTTTAACAGGATTTGAACTTGAGACTTTCGGGTTAGTAGTCTAGCGCGCTACCGCTAGGCCACATTTATAAGCAAAAGATACTATTTAAATCGAGTCCCAACGTTCTTGTTAACACATTGTTAACACATTACGTTTATTAAACAATTAATTATATATATATATATATATATATATATATATATATATATATATATATATATATATATATATATATATATATATATATATACATATATATATTATTAGCAAAAGTGTAAATTTGTATTCAATATCACACTAAAGACTAAAGAAGCCTGGCTGTATATGTAAGAAAACGTAATCTCGACTATTCGTGAGGGAAGTTCACCATCACATTGCGTTGTGCCCACTACATTATTGCCGAGGAACTATGTTGGTTATGAGATAATCACAACATATAAAAACTGTGCTAGAGGTGTACATTAAAACAGATGGACCTTAAGCAACATGCCCTTTATTAAAAACAGACTTGTATTATCGTATATACATTGTTACTGCTCTGATACAAAACACGTATACAACAACATACCGATAGATTAAACTACTACTGAACTGCCTCGCGTTCGAGCAGGTTTGAAGATCCATTACTCTAGTTTATGATTTCCGACACGATGGTTCCATCCGAGATGTAAGGTTCCGTTTCGGACCTACCCACCCACAGGGCAGGTGAAGAAGAGTTGAACAGTTTCTGAGACATCGTATATACAGGGAATAGAGCGGTCAGTACTATGTCAGCTACTTTCCCTAACGGAAGTCAGGTACCAATAACAGTTGGATGAACGCAGGGCCTCCTGCGACTCTAGCCAGGGATCCGAATTCAAAACGTTCTTGTTGAAAGACGAACGCTCTACCATTCAACCACGCCGTCCCATCCAACTGAAACGTAATTCTAATAATTTGAGAAATGGAATCACTGTTTATGCATAAATCTAATTTATTTAATAGCCAATCAATTGGCAGAGAGACTAAACATAAAGCTAAGGCCGCTAGTCTTAATTTAAAAATATCAAAATATTATTCAGAACATAGTATAACTATATCAAGACTGATCACTATTGCTAGAAGATACAGTTTAGACATCAACATATCTAAATTGTGAACAATTTGCTTGTTTCCACAGAATTAAAATAACAATGCAGTCGTTCGCTTTGGTGCCATTAGTCCTTTGCACCGTTTTTGCCCATATTGGTTGTTATGAAGCAAAACCAATAACTGAACCTGAAGGGCATGTGCGAGCGAAATGGAATATTCCGATTCAAGACAAAAGGAGTCTTTTTGAAACAGCTACAGCTTTGCAGCATACGATAGACGCTATGATAGTAGCTCTTTCTGGGAGTGACACAAAAAGAGGTCTTTTTGAAACAGCTACAGCATTGCAGCATACGGTAGATGCTATTGTAGCTGCTCTTTCTGGGAGTGACACAAAAAGAGGTCTTTTTGAAACAGCTACAGCATTGCAGCATACGGTAGATGCTATTGTAGTAGCTCTTTCTGGGAGTGGAACAAAAAGAGGTCTTTTTGAAACAGCTACAGCATTGCAGCATACGATAGACGCTATGATAGTAGCTCTTTCTGGGAGTGACACAAAAAGAGGTCTTTTTGAAACAGCTACAGCATTGCAGCATACGGTAGATGCTATTGTAGCTGCTCTTTCTGAGAGTGGCACAAAAAGAGGTCTTTTTGAAACAGCTACAGCATTGCAGCATACGGTAGATGCTATTGTAGTAGCTCTTTCTGGGAGTGACACAAAAAGAGGTCTTTTTGAAACAGCTACAGCATTGCAGCATACGGTAGATGCTATTGTAGTAGCTCTTTCTGGGAGTGACACAAAAAGAGGTCTTTTTGAAACAGCTACAGCATTGCAGCATACGGTAGATGCTATTGTAGCTGCTCTTTCTGAGAGTGGCACAAAAAGAGGTCTTTTTGAAACAGCTACAGCATTGCAGCATACGGTAGATGCTATTGTAGTAGCTCTTTCTGGGAGTGACACAAAAAGAGGTCTTTTTGAAACAGCTACAGCATTGCAGCATACGATAGATGCTATTTTAGCTACTCTTTCTGAAAGTGATACTAATGTATAAATACAATTGTTCACAAAACTACGTAACATTATTTTCAAGTTGGTTTAACTGTTTTGAAAAAAAAAAGTATCCAGAGTTATAAAATAAAAATACGTTGATATAATAATTAATTAATAACAACAATTCAAATTACACAAAATATTAACATTAATAATAAAAATTATACTTTTATCTCAGAAATGTTTTTGTTTATTTAATAGTTCATGTACAAAGCAAATAGAATAACAGAGATTGCATTTCATATTACATTTCATGTCAATAATGAGTTTGTTATACATTTCATCATTGCTTTTTCATATGTATATTCATGTTTTATTTGTATTACATATCTTGGGGCGCCCACTGTAACGTTTTATTAACATTTCGCCAAAACTAACTATTTACACGATTTTAATTTTAAAGATATGACAAAATCACTGTCATCTAAAATACATTTGTATTTATGGAGGACTGAGATATATGCTATATTATACAATTTTTGGGGATTGCGTGGCCTAGCGGTAGGGAGCGTGGCTGCTAACCCGAAAGTGTCGAGTTCGATTCCAGGTTTAAGTCAGTACACCATCTCTGATATAGCTCTGATGGCTCTGATATATACCTAACTCACGGTAGGGAAACGGCTGAGCATGGTGCTGACAACATTATCCCCTTGTATGCCGAGGTCATTGAAACAGATGAACTATACTTCATCTGCCGCATGTGTCTTGGGCGCGAACGGGAAAAGATGATATATAACTTTAAATTAAAGTCTAGTGGTTGAGTCAGTGGCGTAGCCAGGATCGTCTCAAGGGGGGGGGGGGTCCAATTTTTACCCGGGAACAAACTTTCGATTTGCACCCCTCCCCTCAAACTTAGGTTTTGCACCCCCCTTCAAGCTTTCAATTTGCACCCCCCCCCCCTCAAACTTTCGATTTTCACCCCCCCCCCCCCCTCAAACTTTCGATTTGCACTCCCCCCCATACTTTTTATATATATACCGAGGGGTCTATGGGGGGGGGGAGTTATAACCACCCCTGCCTAAGGCAAATGGGTTGAGTGATAATAAACACCCGTCACATTACCCGCAGTGATAACATTCTAATCGACTGAAACGAACCGCCGCATTGCTTCATAGTTTTATATTTTAATTTAAACCGTTTGAATAATTTAGCGACTACATTTTACACATTATGCTGTGTGACCGTTGTGTTTTTCTAGGACAATGTAAACATTTGACACACCGAAATATTTCTTATGTATCAGCCTGTACTAACTTGCTGTGTGACCGTAGTTTTCGAAAAACAAGTTGTGTTTTTCTAGAACAATGTAAACATTTGACACACCGAAATATTTCTTATGTATCAGCCTGTACTAACTTTTGACATGCCAGTAAAGCTATCGTAAACAGAACTTATCTGGGAATTAGCTCGGAGCTTAGAATTAGCTCTGAGATAACTATCAGCCCTAAACTGAGAATCATATATGAACTGAATATTTTATCTGAGCTAAGTACTGGCTTTGTGCTGAGTATTGGCTGATAATCTAACCTGAGCTGAATATTAGCTTTGAGCTTAGGCTAAGCTCTGGGTTAAAACTAAGGTATGAGCTGAATACTAGCTCTGAGCTGAGAATCATAAATGAGCTGAGTATAAGCTCAGAGTTTTGAATTAGCCCTGAGCTGAGAACTGCCTCACAAGTATTCCGTCTGGAAGTGAACCCTTTCGTAGGTCTGCTCATCACGTGACTCGTCGTCGATGACGTCATAGTGAGACACGGGTATCACGTACCCGTCCAGATCCAGGGAAACTCTACTCTCCTGCACCGTCGACCCCGATCCGGCGGCCGGAGCTGTTTCATCGTGTCTATGTTTATTATCCTCTTCCTTTTCCTCGCAGCTGTTGCTGTTTTCAGTTGTTTCTGCTGTTTTGATGCTGTTTGTATTAAACGTAATGCTGCTAGTTTCTTGTATCGACGTACCTTCGCTGTCTAATACACTAACCACATCAATATTACTCTCGTCCTCCGCGGTTAAACAATCCACATATCCACCATCCACGTATCCACTATCCAAACACGCACTATTTGCATACCCTCTATCCACGTATGGATACACGCTGGATAACGTATCATAATGCCCCGAACACGTATCACTGTTTTGAGAAATACTTCTCATGATAGGCAACTCCTGGTACTCGTTAGTCAAAGAATCGAGAATTGCGTCCCTTGAAATAAATGGGAAGATAACACCAGTACCGTAAGCGGATATCCCGTTACTATGAACTTGAGGAAGTTCTAGCCCTGAGTGTGTTTGCCAGGTAGTCTGAGCAGGAAGGAATTGGTTAGGTCGACGTGAGGTTTTGAAGAGGGAGGCGAGAAGAGTGGTGAGGGAGCTGCTGCGTTTAGCTGTTGTCGTGCGGTACGGTGCGGAGTAGGGAGGGGGTGGGTCGGAGAGCGACCGCTCCCGCATTGACCGTCGGAGATTTTCTTCGCACTGTCGCATCAGCACTTTTCTGCGTGCTGGCAGTACCAAAAACCTGAGAAAATAACAAAAGAAAAAGGTTAATCCACATATTTGTTTATTTATTGTATGCATAGTAATATATGTAGCTTTCTTAGAACCAGACTGTTCTAATTGTATTGTGTTTTTTCGAGATGTACACCCCCTTTGTGTTCTATATCCACCCAGGTATAATGTAAAAAATGCTGTGGCCATATTTTTCGCCATTGTTTTACAACGATTATTTTGTTGTAAACATTGTTTAAATGTGCAGTTCTAGTCTAGCTCAATGAAAGTTATGAGCATAGCTTAAGTCTGGTGTTAATGAATGAGCTACCTTATAATCATCATGATGATGGTGAAAATGACAATGACCATCAGAATTCCAATCAATGTAAACAAAAGTCTTGTGTCAACTTCTGACGGCTCGTCATCTACAACAAGAAAACAACGTCACGAATTTCTAACAAATATAGTGTTGTTAAACTTATAGAATCAATAAGGTATAGTCAAATTTATTTAGGGTAAAACAGTTTAATGAAAATAACAAGCATACAGTTTATAATCATCTGCATTAAAGATCAAAATGTATGTTTTATTAATAAATTGATATCTTATTTCTAAAAGTATGTAAGTCGTTAGAAAAATGTTTTTATTGCGTTCACGTGTTGAAATTGTCAATGAAACACAAAGTTTGTATTTTATAGGTCGTTCGAAAGATGGAATAGCATTACTACTTCAGCATTAAGATGTGTTTATCCGATAAAGTTTGATTTTTATAAAAATGTGACTCAAGCATTTTTTTAGTACTGGGCTATAAAATGACATTCATGCTTTAACATGTTTATGACATTTATATTGTTCTAATTTTTTTGTTTTCTATTATTGTTCTATTTTGTAAAGAAAAAAAAGGAATTTATGAAAAATAGTATAGTGTCAATTCAGTTTCAGGCTTTATTAGTGCCGGCTGTACTACAGTTTCATGTACAACAACACGCCACACCAAGGCAGGTCATACTACTGCAGACTATACTACATCAACCTGTATACTAACAGGCTGTACAGAAGCAGGTTATACAACAACAACCTGTGAAGTAACAGGCGGTAACGAAGCAGGCTATTTTTTTTTTTTAGTTATTCATCTTTTTTTTCAGTTATCAGTTAAATTTAAAGCTTAATAAACCGGATAACAATACAGTTATATCTTTACCTGCTGGGGAGGATTTGAACCCTAGCCTGACGCCACCACCAGACAAGAGCACGTGGGAACCAGACGAGAAGACGACCAGCAGGTAGTTGGAGGAGCTCTCAAAAGATTTGTTGGTGTCGTCATCACTACACACCTGGCCTAGCATCTCGTCGTCATAGGTCGTCTTACCTGACAGGGAAAACACGTGTCGTTATTGGGTGGGCAGATTAGGTCTTACCTGATAGGTAAAACATGATTGATTATTCGATATGCAGATTAGGTATTCAGAGGCCTGGCGACCCTTCCCGGCGCCCGGGGACAAACTTTCGATTCGCACCGCCCTCAAGATTTCGATTTGCACCCCCCCCCCTTCAAGCTTTAAATTTATTTTTCCAACCTATTTTGGCCCCCCTTAAGGTCGGCGCCCGGTGACATGTCGCCCCCCCCCCCCCTCGCTACGCCTCTCTGGGTATTACTTTATAAATAAATTGATTAATCGATATGTAGATTAGGTATTAGTTGATAGATAAAACATAATTGGTTATTCGATATGCAGATTAGGTATTACTTGATAGATAAAACACAATTGGTTATTCGATGTGCAGATTAGGTATTACTTGACAGATAAAACTTGATTGGATATTAGATATGTAGATTAGGTATTACTTGACAGGTAAAACAGGATTGGATATTAGATATGTAGATTAGGTATTACTTGACAGGTAAAACAGGATTGGTTATTTGATATGCAAATTAGTCAATATTTATATTTCTTGAATTTACACCTGGCTACAAGGTAAATAATCGTAGTGTAAATTACAGACTATGGTAATTTCTTGAATTTACGCGTTTAACGCTAGGAAAAATGTAAGGCACCTACGACTATACAAAGTAATGATTAATTAACAAAATAACACTTTCTTATAAAGGAAAATTGATATTGACATTTAAAATATAAGTAATGACTACACTGTTGAGGCGAATTAGTGTATTATTTCAGGTTGTAGTAAGTAAGACAGCGAACATATTTTACAGTAACTTATAACTATGGTTACCGAATGCCAGATTTAACGGACCAGATTTTTGATGACTTTAAATACTTTCTAAAGGAGAATATATTTGAAAAATGCAAAATGGTCAAAAAAATGTTTTAAACTGCTCAGAATTAAACTAAAGATTTAAGTGTTAGTAAAAAGTTTAAAGCGGTCTTTATTTTTTTCTATTGCTCGAACAATAAAACATCATTCAAATGGTAAATATTAAACATGAAGAAATAGTTTGTCGTTTTCTCGTATGAAGGAATTTGCGGATACCCGAGTCTGGTATTCGAACCCTAGACGACAGTATTTGTAGCCGAGTGAGTTACCCCTCGACCAAGTCGCCTTTCAGTTATCTTGTGCTCTGGTCAGCTTAGTATAAAAAACGTCGAGCCCAATTTAGTATTAAGTGTGAGACTTCTCGACCAAGTCGCCACGATAGTGATCTAGTGTTAAAGTCAGCATACCGTCAAAAGTAGACATGATAAGTATCTAGTGCTATAGTAAACCTACCGTCAAAAGTTTATCTAGTGCTATAGTAAACCTACCGTCAAAAGTTTATCTAGTGCTATAGTAAACCAACCATAAAAAGTCGTCATGTTAGTTATCTAATTCTATAGTAAACCTACCATCAAAAGTTTATCTAATGCAATACTAAACCTTCCATCTAAAGACGTCATGTTAGTTATTTAGTGCAATAGCAAACCTACCGTCAAAAATGTAGTGCTCAAAGATGACACAGTCACTATACTAAACCTACCACCAAAAGTGTATCTAATTCTATACCAAACCTACCGTCAAAAATGTAGAGGCCAAAGTTAACACAGTCGCTATACTAAACCTACCATCAAAAATGTAGAGCCCAAAGTTGACACAGTCGCTATAGTAAACCTACCATCAAAAATGTAGAGCCCAAAGTTGACACAGTCGCTATACTAAACCTACCATCAAAAATGTAGAGCCCAAAGTTGACACAATCGCTGGAACCTTTCATGTTGGCATCAAACACCTGTAGAGTTATCTTCTGGTCAGCTGGTGCCTTCAGTAGCCATCTGCAGTGGACGTTACTGGTCAAGAGATAAGTAGATGACTGTTATGATTTTAACATTAAAATAATTGCATGTTTGGAGTGGTCATTACTAGACAAGAGATAATTAGATGACCGTTATAATTTTAATTTTAAAATAATTGCCAGTTTAGATGTTGTTTTTTTTCTAAAATAGTGTAATGAAGAATGTAGATACTACATATGTAACTGCTCAAGTCACTAGAACGCATTGAGTCAACTTAGTTCCAGTAGGAAATTAAATGCGGCTGGACATCGTGATGGCCACACTATCCATTAACTCAGGGGTTCCCAACCCTGTGCCCGCGGGCGCCATGGCGTCCGACGAACGATTCGTATGTGCCCGCCTCCCACTATTCGACAGAGACAGATTTTTTTTCATAAACGTTATTGAAATGTTGAAAAGGATGGAAATCGAAAGTTTGGGGGTGGGGGGGAGGGTGCAAATCGAAAATATTTGAGGGGGGGGGGGGTTGCAAATCGAAAGTTTGTTTGAGGGGGGGGTGCAAATCGAAAGTTTTGTCCCCGGGTGACGGGAAGGGTCGCTACGCCTCTGGAAGGAGTTTGTCGATTTAAAATAGGTGGTGCCCGCTACCCTACCGATATTTTAGAACAGTAGCGTACGCAGGGGGGGAGCAGGGGGAGCGGCCGCTCCCCCTCTGGCCATTTTCAGCAAAGTGGCGCCTTTTTGGAAACTTTTTAAACAATATTTGTTAAAAAAATATTTTTGGTTGGCACATCTATGTAAACCACAAGATTTCTTTTCATGCAGCAATTAAGCATTATTGCAATAGTCTAGTAGTGTCTACGTTTACAACACGTGTTAACAGCTGCATCAGTTTGCCATTCTAAAAATAACCATTACGATGCTTTCCAATGTTTAAAAAACCTCCGAAGTGTCTACTCGGAATAAGATTTTTCGGCAAAAGATAGTTCTGCGCATGCGCAGTGACCTATGGCTAGGGTTAGGGCTAGAATGAGGGTTAGGGGTAGGATTAGGGATAGGGTTAGGGCTAGGGTTAGGGTTAGGGATAGGATTAGGGCTAGGGTTAGGATTAGGGCTAGGGTTAGGGATAGGATTAGGGATAGGGTTAAGGATAGGATTAGGGTTGGTATTAGGGTTCTGCGGTTGTAAACACACGCATGCGCAGTACCATCGAAAATATCGCCGCTAAGTCGTAGTTTCTCTCCATTGCGCATGCGTATCGCATGCGTATCTTATTCCGACTAGAATCGGCCTGTATAATGTATTTGCTCACGAATAATTGAATTACAAAATGTTATACATAAAACTTCACACATAATTACTTTATATATACAGTTTGAATCGTGTGATTAATTTTTTAAAAGACTACAATACAGAAACAAATACAACTGATGTGGCACCTCTATTTAAATTTACTTATGGGCGAACTGCGTAGCGGTGGGGAAATTTTGACAAGTTCAACACGTCATCACGATGAAGTAGTAGTATTCTTACAGTTTGGGCGATAGTGATTACGATTACAAATTATATGAAACAGTTACAACCCCCCTTCCCCATGGACCCCTCTGTAAAAAAATATTTAAATCTATTTCTGAAATAAATATTTGTGTAATATATATTTGTGTAATATATATGTATGTTTAGAACAGTCATCTAAAAACTGACTCTATTTTCACTCTGAGTTGGTTATCTCCCCCCCCCCCCCCCCACACACACACACCTCACCACCACAATTGTGTAGAGCGACATTAATGTCACGCCTGGATTGGATACGCTGGATTGGATAATTGACCTAAAGTGAACGGACAGTGGTGAATGAAGTTGAACACCCCCCCCCCCCAACCCAACCCACCCCGTACTGATCTGTTAAGTACATGTAGAAAAACGCTCAATGATGTACCAAAGTACCATGTCGCAAGGAAATTAGCTTTTTAAACGTAAAACTCTTTGAATATTGTTTTTGCAATTACCAGTAAAGAGGTGTGTGATCAATACAGTGATCTAACCCATACCTATCACTATGTTAAAAACTGATCTTTAAAGAACACAAAGAAGCAGTAGTTAATTAAAAATATATGATCTGAACTAAAAGACCGATCTTTAGTTAACTGTAGGCTGATATTCCGAATGTTGTCTATTAAATCAAAAAGCGTGGTTTTATACCAACTCTGATTTTAAAAAATTTCATTATGGTGTAATACTTTAGCATTTATGATGACGTTATATTCAATTATGACTATAGACAAAAACATTTTGTAAACACGAATAATGTTAAACAATTTCATTTCATTATATTCTAAAATAATTATTTATTTGTTTTGACATTATTAATTAGATGTGTAGATATATACTTATTTATATTAAGAGAGTTATTATTTCCCCTATTTCACTTGTCTCAAATATTTTCCCAGGAATTATTATGTAAGAAATTTTTTGTACAAGAATTACAAAACATATTGTGTTAGGTTCATTGTTTTTGGTTGTAGTGTGTGTATATTTGTTTTTTTTTTTGTTTAGATTGATACCACTTTTGTTTTGTCGGCCTACATTGTATGTTTTTTCTTATTTCTTCAGAGTGCTACTTTCAATTTATTTTACATCATAGCGCAGTAATGACATACAGTTACTAATTATATATATATATATATATATATATATATATATATATATATATATATATATATATATATATATATATATATATATGTAATACACGTATATAGTACGTGTTAAAAATTCGGCGCCTTTTTTGGCTCTTTTCGCTCCCCCTACAACGAAAACCTGGATACGCCTCTGGCTCTAGAGTAAAAAAAGGTTGGGAACCCCTGCATTAACTTATCGAGGTCACAGAAACAGGTGAACTCTAATTCACTGGCCGCATGGACCAGGAGGTTCAAAAAGGAAATAATACTTTTATGTAACTGTTTATGATTACTAATGTAGGCAAAATCAAATGGTCATTTTGTATTATGACTTTACATGATTAAATGACATAGTCGATGACTATGCATATTGATAACATATTTCACATTTACCATTTTAAATCATGCTTAAATAGCATAATTAAATCAACGGTAGTTACAAAACGCAACTGCAATGTCTAGCCTGTAAAAAAAACCTGTCAATTGTATCACTAAAAGTAGTAGCCTACTGCATGTAAAATTACTTTAATTTTCTTTCAAATTGAGTAAAAAATAAATGAATATAATAATATAAATTGTTTTCAAATCCGGTACAATGACTAATGCTATTAAGTTTCACGTAATAAATTAGTGTAATTAAATAAACTTTAATCAAGTCACGGTACTTACGGCGCCACCTCCTGTGGGTAGTAAGGGGACACAATCTGTTGTTGTGAGCTGTACACTTGAATCACTTTTGCCCTCTCCTTGTAGCAGTGTCGAAAATCTGGCCAGACATAAAGTAAATATATTTGGTTATTTTATTTTGCTTGTGCTTGAAGTAGCATAAATGTAGTTAATACAACCACTGACGTAAATACATAAAAAAAGTATAAAAAGCCCATACACGTGTACATACACGTATATATATAAATATATATATATATATATATATATATATATATATATATATATATATATATATATATACATATATATATATATGTGTGTGTGTGTGTGTGTCGGCCTACATAGGCCTATAATTTAACTATATGCCGCATACACTTACATGTATGTGTATAAGCTTTAATTAGTACAGACTTACTAGTAACAATGTTTATCTATAGTCTGTTAATTATACAGTTAGAGTTAGATGTAGCATTGTTTTCTCTATAGTTTTCACGTTATGTCATGGTGTCACCCCCAAACTCTTGTAATGGTTATCGATTTGTACTTAAAAGACTATTTAACTTTAATTAATCATTACTGGAACTCGCAAAAAAAACATTTTTCTTCTGTACATTTTGCACCCTAAATAGTGTCACCCGGTGTGGTCCGCATCCCCGCCCCGCCCTCGCTACGCCTCGGCGTCCATTGTATTAATTTTTACTAATTAACGAGATTGGACTAGAGGCATTCGTTCAAACATGTCAAATGGGTCGCCCCATTACCATTTAGGACAGTCAGTTTAATCAGAATAATCTGAATGTGTATTGCCGGAACAATGTTGAAAAGTCTTCGTGGCAACGTAAACTTATAATCAGAAAAATGTTACAATTGTAATCTTTGTTTGAGATTTTTATTTTAATTTAATTACCTACTTTTTAAAATTTCGAGATCATAAAGTAAACACAAATACTTGTAATAACTTTTATCTTGGTTTTAGAATTTTGCTATTTTAATTACCTACTTTTTAAAGTAAGATCATACATTTTAAAAAGCGGAAAAATGTACTGACCACAAAATTTTATATCTAGTTAAATTGTTAAAATATGTATGTGTGTGTATGTGTGTGTGCGCATGTGCGTGTGTGTTGGAGGGTGTTATATACCTAAACGCTGTTCTGTTGTTTAATGGGACGGGGGTTTGATTTGATGCCTTGTATTAAAGCACCATATAGCAACCATAAAAGTATCGCCTCTGCCTTCTATTAACAAAACTACACATAATACAATTTATTCAATTTTCATATTAACACAATGCATTTAGTTTGTTTAAGACAGTTTTTTTAAATAGTTTTTTTAAATATGTTTTAAAATGCTAAACAACGTCGTACCTGAGGGTGTCATAACTTACACGGATAAGAAAATCTACTTCCGTCGTGCATCCATTACAGACGTCAAGTCACATGACGCTGGTATATCCTCAACACCAGCGGTTCTAAAACTAAATCTAAGGACACCTTATCCCTTTACAATAATGGGGCTATGTGAGAGAATGTGAAAATATACGATTGATACTAAAATAAATATGGTGTTTAATTAAGTGTTTAAAATATACATTTTCTTTGATCATTTCAATAGTTTCTTTTAGATGCATATATTCGACAATAAAAAAAAAGCTTTAAGAAAATGTTAATTGCAAGATCATTGTGTGTGCAGAAAAAATTTCTCTGGTTAATCCCCAAATGCATTGTCTATCAATACAAATTCATATAACTGAACTAACGAGGTCCCAAACTCTAACGTATCTGCCCTGGGAATATGCAATGATTACATTGATTAATTTTTAATACAAAGTAAGTCATATACACGTACATAATTAAAATATATGGCTAATACCCGAACTGATTTCAGCACACACACGCACACATTCATACATATATACATGCACACACATACATATATATATATATATATATATATATATATATATATATATATATATATATATATATATATATATATATAATTGCTTTTTCTATCCTAAATGTTTATATTTCTGCTAGAAAAGAATTAAATAAATACGTTTTATTTATCTAAAAATAGACTTGACATCTTAGGGTACCTTGGCTAAACAGATTTAGAACCACTCCTCTGTAAGGCCTGACTCAGCCATGATTAAAAAAAAAACTACTACCTGGTAATTTATTCCTCTCTCGTCCAAACTAGACGGTCAAAAAAAATGTGACCCATAAATGTTAACACATTTGTCTAGCTTGTAAGACAAAGTTGCCTTCTAATTTTAGCCTTTTCATTTTTCCTAACTCATTTTTTAGGGAATTATTTTCTTTAAGCCGGATGCTCTTATTCAAGCAGAGGGTCATTTATTATATAATTTCCTGTTTTCTAGCTTAAGCCGGATCCTTCCTGCTAGGTTGGAAAGTTAGGGACCTTGGTGTCAACAGAATAAATAAGTTAACGTAGAAATTAACTTTAAAGTATGTTATAAATAATATATTAAATTAATTGTAAACATATTTTCACTTTTGTTTAAATATAATTGAAAAAAAACCAGCAGCCTAGTTTCCAATATCTCCGATAGTTTATATTTTTATGGAGAACAAGAGCTAAGATACATGTTTTAAGTTAGGATTAAATTGTATGTTGTGTGGTGATAACGTATGGGCATTCGTTAATGATTGCTCATACTGATACATTCATTAAAAATTCTAGATATATTTCTGCGGAAAGATTTGAATCGAGATCCACCGAACCAAGAGCTGAATCTATTCTATTGTTATATCATGTTAGTGATAACACGCAGGCATATATAATAATAATGATATATACGTATATATATATGTATATATATATATATATATATATATATATATATATATATATATATATATATATATATATACATATATATGTTTGTGTGTGTGCCTGTGTCTGTGTGTGTTTGTGGCTGTGTGTGTGAGTGTGTGTGTGTGTCTATGAGTGAGGGTGTGGGTGTGTGTGGGTGTGTGTGTATGTTTCTATGGCTGTGTGTGAGTGTATGTCTATGTGTGAATGTGTGGGTGTGTGTGAGTGTGTCTGTGTATGTGCGTATGAGGTGTGTGTGTGTGAGGTGTGTGTGTGTGTGTGTGTCTTTGTGTTAGTGTGTGGATTTGGTAGTGTGTGCATGTGAATATGGCTGTGTGTGACTATGTGTATCTATGGGTGAGTGGGTGCGTGTGTGGGGGTGTGCCTGTGTGTGTGTGTGTGAGGTGTGTGTGTGTATGTCTGGGTTTGGGTGTGTGTGTGTCTTTGATCCTGCACCCCTGATTTGAACCCCGGATTCTCGTAGCTACTCACCAGGCACACCTTCCGCTTTGAGCTTAAACCTGTAGTTAGATGACCTTGACCCCGATTTGAAAACGAGGTACAATCTCTCCTTAGGGCTGATGAACACCGACCTGCTACCTGAGCAGATCCGACCAAGGTGTCTGGGACTTAGGTTAAAAGCTGGCAAAATGATGAAAAATAACGTGTCAGACCCTGTTTGTGCTTAACTTCTAAAAGTCAAGAGAGATCCGTGATCTATTTCTTTTAACAAAAAACTAGCACGTTGTTGAGTCAAAAGTGAATTATATTTTGCTAGTGAATTATATTTTGCTATTTTGTTAGTGTTATGATCTTGTCAATTATGTTTCGCTTTCTTCTATTGATTAGTTCAAAACTATCGTGAGTTTCATATAAATTAAAATCACTGACATCTGTAAAAATAATTTATTCTATTTCTATATTAATTTTTTTTGCATGTATTCAGCAGCTGAAAGGGATCAAAATACATATATAATAAATGTTATATATATATATATATATATATATATATATATATATATATATATATATATATATATATATATAATTTTATCAATTTAAAATGCCAAAAAAATATATAATATTAAATTATTAAACTAGACGTAAATTGAGGTAGCTTCCCCTATCACCGTATTATTCCAAAAGTATTGTGTTTGCCCTAAACGGTCCATCTAATAAAATCACGCTCTTCTCCAGCTGCCAGTTAAATTTTCATGTTTGACGATGTGGTCAAATTATATTTCTCTACCCCCCCCCCCCCTTCCCTCCACACCCTACCAACACATTGTTTGTATTCAAATATTTACAGAAGCTGTTGCGACCGTTACCAAAAAGCTATTTTAGGCTAGAAAAACAAATCGATAGGCACTTTTTTTTTAATACTATGACATACTAAATCGGCTAAAGAATAAATAGAACTTCAATCGTAGCACAGTTCGACCTAGTATTTCTAAAACATTGTTTACTACTGCAGACCTTTAAACACTCAAGTATGGCCCATATAGTTAAGAGTCAGATATTGATTTCGGTAAAAGCCCCTATTGTAGACTTAACCCAGTTTTGTTCGATTATTATTAGTTTTGGTTTATATTATCTTTTGATGTTAATCCCCGCTTCAATCTAATATAGTGGATTGTGCTTTAATTATTTTATGTCATTTAATCTTTTTAACATTTGTTATAGCTTTTTTTTTAATCTGTTATGATACTAAGTACCTATAGAATACCGTAGGTATTGCTTTAATAACTACACAAATGGCGATACCAGTTTAACTATAATTGTACATAATATGGTACCCAATATAGTCTGACTATGTGACTCTGACTAAATAAAGTTTGCGATAAATTAAAAAAAAAAAACAATAGACCAAGAAAACTGTCAAGGTTTAAAATAGGCGCTAAGTTCGGCGCGGAACCAAAAAAAAATAAATTCTGGCGATGATTAAAATCTCGCCATCCAAACATGTACTCACCATCATACACGTCCAGCGTCGTGTTCTGGTCATTGCAGTCCAAGGTCACGTCTTCCACGTGTAGGTGAATGACGTCACCAGAGTGAAATTGTGTGCTCATGTCGTAGAAACAGTGTGAGTTTCTGAAAAAAATAAAAATAAAATGAACATTAACTTCTTTGAGAAATTCTTCTTCGTTCTTAATTGTATTATTGGAAGGAATGTCCTCAAATAGGGGTCGGCGTGGTCGAGTCGGTAAAGCTCATGGTTGCTAAGCCGAAAAGTCTCGAACCTTCGGGCAGATGAGGCTGGGGACAGACAACTCCAAAATCAAACAACTATTGCCTTGTAGTTTGTTCTTGGTTGGACAAAGGTTATGGTAGCAAATCCAAAAATGAAAAGCAGGCTGAAATCGGAGTCAATGGCCTTAATGGCGCATAACCAGTTGACACGTAATCCTTAATTGTGATGGAGGCGTGGTCGAGTCGGCAAAAAGCTCATGGTTGATAAATTCGAAAAAAAAGTCTCGAGTTCAAACCCTCTGGCAGGTAAGACTCGATCCCTTTCAAAGCTAAAACTTAAGAACGAAGAAGAAGAAATCCTCAAATAAAATTAAGTTTTAACATGTTATGCGCCTTATAGACCGTTGACTCTGATTTCAGCCTGTTTTTCTTTCTGGATTTGCTTCCATAGCTTTTTTTCCAGCCAAGACCAAACTGCAAGATAGCCGAGTTTTTTTTTTTTTAATTTTTCTCCTAGATGGTTTTCTGTCCCCAGATAACGAGTCTTATGCGTCCGAGTTCAAACTCGGCACTTCCAGTTTAACATCCACAAGCTTAACTGACCCGACCCCACCGTTCCCAAAACTTGCTTCTGGTAACACCCACAATTCTAGACATCATAACAACGGTTTTCCGATGACGTTAAATATACAGTAAAAGAATAATTTTTAAATCAAAACTCATACCAAAACATAGCATTAGCACTTATATTGACGGTTACTGAACTTAGCATGAAAGACCCTACCGCTTTACCGGTAGAAGAGATATTTATATAACTTATTGTTTAACTCTCAGTTTAACTGGCTGTGGAATTTTTAAATAAGGATGTTAGTAACTAATGAATAAGTAATTAATTAAATAGTAGAAATCACAAATGAACCACGGAAGTTGTTAGGTTGACAAGTTGACTAATGTTGTTATGTTGAGAAGGTTTTTAATTAGCCTGTTGACAACTTAACAGTTTCATGAAACATATTTTGGAAATTATTTTCCTTCGATGTTTAGATATGCGTCATGTTTTTGAATGGTCAAAACACTCAAGATGCAACATGAAAAACGTTAGACTTAGTAAAACTCGCAGCTAGATCCAAATTAAACAGATGAAAAAATAACATTAAGATAAGATGTAGCAAAATGACTGGGAATGGTAACAAAATTGTAAAAGTTCATTATGAATGTTTTATAACTAAATTACTTACTCCGGGAGATGATTAGGGTAATTTTGTGACGTCACTTCAATTACCTCGCCCGACTTAATAAGATACTTCTCATTGCAGGCCCCAACTAAGGATATGAAAGCAATATTAGAAATTAGGAAATGTATTTATTATACGTGACTTACAAATGTATATTACATATATATATACATATATATATATATATATATATATATATATATATATATATATATATATATATATATATGATAAATATGTCTGTAAATAAAATGTGTATGCCTATTTTTATAAATAATGTCAGTACTTTGATTTAACTAGATATATATATGGCCTATATTCTATGATTTACATTGCTTAACAAACTAATAGTTTCTGAATGTCAAAAGTAAAATATAGGCCCTACGTCGGATTTGTTTTTAAATTTTACTATAATGTGTTGTATTGGATTTTTGTTTTTTGTTTTTTAAAAACTATGTCTTCGTCTTTAATAGTTTTGTAAAAGTACTTACAGGCATAGCGAATGAGGAACATCAACGCAAAACACACATCTACCGTCATTGTTGTCCCTATGTCAACTCGCTGAACACACGCACTATAGCAAATTGTGTCAATGTTATTCCGGGGCCCTAACTGAGTTGACGCGAGCAGGTAGGCTTGTCCGTCACTCGGTGATCTGTCATGGCCCTTGTCCTGGTGTAGGTGCTTGACATCAAGGGCCGACAACTCAGGTACAGGGAGATAACTTACAAGTGTATCCGCTCTGTTTAATGTATATATATATACATACATATATATATATATATATATATATATATATATATATATATATATATATATATATATATATATATATATATATATGTATATATATATATATATATATGTATATATATATGTATATATATATATATATATATATATATATATATATATATGTATATAAGTATAAATACTTATATATATAAATAAATATATATATATATATATATATATATATATATATATATATATATATATATATATATATATATATATATATATATAATATTTATATTGTTACCTTTGTTTTTATTTAAACTTTCAAACCAATACATATTATCATTCATTCAAAAGCACAAAGAAATAAAGTATTACATGTAATTATGCTTCCTTTTATAAGCGTATATTGTTTAACATTATTAAGAGTCTCATTTGTAATTAAAAATAAAACTGACAATACATGACGGTACATATTTTTTTTCTGTATGGTTTAGCACTTTTATATTTCTCTCATTATGCGTTGTACTTGGCCTATTGCCCTGACAAGTACCTGAAGTTGTTTATATTTTCACGGGTGATTTTTAGAGAATAGTCCGAATCTAGTGTTTAATAGATCCATCTGCAAGCGACCCGTACATGATAATGGTATATTTCTGAGTGTTCTAATTGATGTTCGAATCTCTGGCAGTTCGCTTGACAGTAGCTTACCAGGGGTCGGCAACCTTTTGAAGCGGAAGAGCCAAAAGTTACAATATTCAAAATTTCCCTAGTTTTAAAGAGTCACTAACACTTTTTTTATTTCAAATATTTAATTTTTTTATTAAGATTATTAGTATGATTCAAGGAGCTGGAGAGCCGCATCTTGATATCAAAAGAGCCGCATGCGGCTCGCGAGCCGCAGGTTGCCGACCCCTGGCTTACCCACTTTCGTAGCACGTGATGTCCGTATATGTTGTCTACATCGTAAAAATATTCACAACTGAGAAATGAGAAAATCGAAATAACATGAGGAAGGTTTTTTAATATATAAATTAGTAATACATAAATGCTATTAGTTGAGTTTTTACATTACATTGCTATAATTTTTTTTAAAAACCAAATGTTTTATTAAGATGTGACTAAAGTTTTAACAAAAGTGTTAAAAGAAAAATGTTCAATAAACAATGTTGTTAAATTTTAGTTTTAAACTATTTATAATATTTTTAATCACTTTTTGCATTATATTTATAGCGTAGTTTCCCTTATATTGTAGTATTATCAAAATGGGAATTAACTCAGTTTGAAGATTTTGATTGTTATTACATTATTATTTCAGTACGAGTTTAAAAAATACAAACATTATATTTTTTATTTTAAACTATAAATTACGTTGCTGCAACTGATTTATATTTACGTAAGATATGCATTATTAATAATCTTACTGATTTTTATGCATGCTAAGAAATATGTTTCGCCGATTAAATTTTCCTAGGTTGTCTGCTATTTGGGGTTCTAAATTTTATAATCAAAATTTTAATCTCTTATTGTTTTATAAAAATAATTAATAATTAATTATAAATATATTAAATACTTTTCATATGAAACAGGCATTTCAAGCCAATGTGTAGCCCCGCCGCCGTTACTTTATTTGCCTCAGATACCTATCTGAGCTGGTTGGATTAAAGGCCGAGCTATATAACTAGAGGACATGAATCAGTATCTGACACCTTTCGATTTAGTTATGTAATGATTCCGGTGTAACCCGATGAGTTAAAAAAAACAACAACTGAAAATAACCAGCTGGACAGAAAATATTTTTAAAAATGTCCATCCTTAGATAAGGACTAACTCAATTAGTAATAGTGAACAGCACATTATCCCCTTCAATTACACCCCATTCCCACTTCACCCACCCTCTTTTAACATTAACCCCCCCCCCCCATGAGCAATTCTCCCCCCCCCCCCCATGTCTTTTACTCCCGCCCAACTAGGGATAGAGATAGGGATAGGGATAGGGATAGGGATAGGGATAGGGTTAGGGTTAGGGTTAGGGTTAGGGTTAGGGTTAGGGTTAGGGTTAGGGTTAGGGTTAGGGTTAGGGTTAGGGTTAGGGTTAGGTTTAGGGTTAGGGTTAGGGTTAGGGCTAGGGCTAGGGCTAGGGCTAGGGTTAGGGTTCGGGTTAGGGTTAGGGTTAGGGTTAAGGTTAGGGTTAGGGTTAGGTTTATGTTATTGTTAGGGTTATGTTAGGGTTATGTTAGGGTTATGATAGGGTTAGTGTCAGGTTTCTCCAGGATGTGGGGTGGGTTAATTGACAGGGGTTAGTTCACAAGGTGTAATGACTACGTGGGGGTGTATGTTAGGCGCTTGGGTGGGGGAATCTCCGTGGGGGTAATTGACGGTGGGGTGGGGGGGGGGGGTGAATCATGTCTTTGACCCGAATATCTCATGTTCATTAAATTGTTATTGTGGTGCTCTAGACTCAATTCTCGTTTTTAGTAAACCTGTTTATGATAATGTATTATTTCTATTAATAGCCCAAAGGGCCAACATAACTAAGGTGAAATGTAACAGACGAAGAAAGGGAAGTCATCCATTTCCTTTTCTCTTTTCAGAAGGGGAGATTACTTTGATTAATTGCTGACACGTGCGGGGAAGGTTTTTACACTGAATATTATGTAATCGTAGAATACACTTTACACGTAGCCTGTGTCACATGATTTTACTCAGCATTTTATTAATTTGAAACAGTTGAAAGTAGTAATCATATTAAAACAATTAAAATCTTTAGTCAGTAAAACAAAAATTAAATATACTTGTACATAATTATAAAGCCAACAAATGAAATGGAACTTTGAATAAAAAGAATGCATTAAAATAGCTAACACTTTATTATTTTGTTAGAATAAGTAATATAAATAAAGCCTTTTGCTTATAAAAGAAGAAAATGACATTCATCTTTAAGTGCAGGTACTTGATGTTTTTGTAGTGTAATAAACAACCCAGTCCTTAAATATGTAAATATTTGCTGCTGTAATTTTATAGCATGGAAAGATAAACACCAATTCTATTATAAAAAACTAGTTTTAATACTTTTTATAATTCTAATTATTGAGGAAACATGTTTTGAAAATAGACTATGGCTTTCTTCAAGGAGGACAGACAACCAGATTTTTTTCAATGATGTAATAAATATCAAAATAAAAAAAAAAAAAAAAAAAAAAAAAAGAAAATTATTATGTTAGATTACTATGGTTATCAGTTTCTTCCAGGCATCTCTTGCGGGGGGGGGGGGGGGGGGGTGATTTATATAGTATACATATACTTTTACTAGTGTCCGCCCCCCTCCCCCCCACGGAAAATGTAGACCGCCACCCTCGAGTTAGCAGTCTAGTTCTCTACCGCTAGGCCATGCCCTTAAATGAAATGTATGGCAGAAGCTATTGATTCCTTTTTATGTACGCAACATTATCTATAACCACTAGTTTTTTCACCATGCCCTACTCGCACCATATAAATGTATCAAAATGGACAGAACTCACAGATAATTTTCAAACCATGAATTTGAACTAAACGGATAGCTATCTCTCTGTCCAACCCCCCCCCCCCCCCCCACCCAACCCCTCTTTTTTTCACAAGCCACTTTATTAACAAATGTCGTTCAATGGCCCGTGCTTCTCTAAAGTCGTATGCTGCTTTTTGTTCAATATATTACAGGACAAAACATACAATCGCTCAAACCCACTCCACATTTCATCCACCCCCCACCTATTCCCCCCCCCCCCCCCGCCTCAATGCTCAACCAATCAAGTTCGACCTGTTCCATTACATGTTTCTGTTTACCCTCCTCACATAATTCTACTCCACCTACAGTGCCACAACCGATTCCCGCACCCACAAAACTATACGAGGCAATAACCGTTGTGATTCAGATCTAAATTGGGTAACGCCTTAACCGTGTAGAATATTTACAGTAATTTACATTAATATCTTACCAACTAAAGACAACACGAGTAGTTATTTTGTAATTAATCACGCAATAATACAACGGGTTATATCCAAGGCCAAAGAGTTAAAACGTTTTTACGTGTACGTTTCGAGATTAAATATAGGCTTTATTGTTCTATTTTTAGGTTTTCTCGAGATGTTAATTTCGCGAGACGACCATTCTCCTCTCCCGTTACTAATGGCACAATTAAGTCGAACAGATTTAGGAAAATAGAACTACACACCAAAACACAGTTCTACCTTTACTGTTGCAAAATCTTTTGACCCGTTGCTTTAAGCTTGGGCTGAAAATCAATCAGGTGGTTAACGGTTTGTCGATAAATCGATCACCAAACCTCCAGGGAGGAGGGCCAGTCGATGGCGGTCGTTTGACCTACTTGAGAATCACGTGATACCTTTGTTCTAACTACATAGTCTTGTTAAAGTAAAAGCCTGCGGTGCCGTCTTTTGAAAACTGAAGCACCATTGGAGTGGTTGGGTGGTTGTGTTTGTGTGAAGATTGCATTGTGCTAGAAGAAAATCAAACTACGATTGTAATGAATTTATTCACATACCAGTGATTGTTAAGGATCCGGTTTAGTTTCAAAACTGAAGCAGTATTCAAGTGGTTGTGTGTGTGTGTGGGAGTGTGAGTGTGTGTTTGGGTGTGTGTCTGTATATGTGTGTGTGTGTATGTTTGTCAAGATAGCATTGTAATTGACGAAAGTCAAATTCCAATTGCAATGAATTTATTCAAATACCAATGATGGTTAAGGATTTGGTTTCGCTTCAAAACTTAAGCAGTATTTAAGTGGTTGTGTGTACGTGTGTGTGTGTGTGTGTTTGGGTGTGTGTGTTAGTGTGTTTTTGTGAAGATTACATTGTGCTTGAAGAAAATCAAACTCCGATTGCAATGAATTTATTCACATACCAGTGATTGTTAGGGATTAGGTTTAGAGAAATTATTTTAAAGCATAATATTTTGAGCACTTGGTAGGTAAGATGAATTGTTTATGAGGACGGCGGTGTGGTCGGCAGAGGCGAAGCGACCCTTCCAGGCGCCCGGGGACATACTTTCAATTTGGCGCCCCCCTCGGGAGCAAATTTTCGATTTGCACCCCCCCCCCCTCAAACTTTCGATTTGCAACCCCCCCTCAAACTTTCGATTTGCACCCCCCCCCCTCGAACTTTTCATTTGCACCCCCCCCCCTCGAACTTTTCATTTGCACCCCCCCCCTCAAACTTTCAATTTGGCGCCCCCCCTAAGGTCGGCGCCCGGGGACATATGTCCCCCCCCCCGCCCCCCCCCCTCGCTACGCCTCTGGTGGTCGGATAGGTTGTTGAACAAAAAAAAGCCCCGAGTTCAAACCCCCGGCAGACGAGGCTCGATAGCTGGAGACAGCAAAGCAACTCTTCTAGAGAAGAGTTTAAAAAACTGCTGCCTTGTAGTTTGTTCTTGGTTGGACAAAGGCTATGGAAGCAAATCCAAAAAGAAAAGCATGCTGAAGTCAACTATCTATATCGCACGTAATACTTAATTGTAGAGAATCCCTTCGAACACTAGAATTAAGAACGAAGAATATTGTTATGGGTCGGTGCACGACTGTTAACCCGAAAGTCTCTAAAGATCCGGAGCTAAAGACCTTAAGAAGTCCTTGAGCAAAACTAGCTGTAAAGAATAGGCCGATCCCACACTCGATAAGGAATGTAAAGGGGGTTAGGAATTGAAATGAACACACTATCATTTCATATGCCGAGCTCACAGAACAGGTAATCTCCACTTTATCAGCCAAGTCAAAAAGGAAATATGTACTTTACTCGAATTATAATAAATATATGATTTTTTTAAAAATCTAAAGTCTTGAGTGTGGTTTATCAATTTGGTACATTTACATGGCCTTGATACTTACTACTTAGTAATTAGTAAGTTCCCTTTAAAACATGACGATCTACGGGGCAAGTGAAGTAGAGTTCACTTGTTTCTGCAACCTCGGCATATGAATAGATATTGTGGTCAGCACTAAACCCAACCGATTTTAATTTCCCTAACGTGAGTTAGGTACCCATCAGAGTTGGGTGGACTCAGGGACGGTCTACTGACTTGAACCCGGATGCGAACTCGAAGCAGTCCAGAGATTGAAATGTAAAGATACTAGTTTCAAGTGGGATGATAAAGACGGGAAGTAGTGGCCTAAGCGGTAGAGCGCTAGGCTGCTAACCAAGTATGTAGAACGTCCCTGAGTCCACCCAGCTCTGATGGGTACCCAACTCATGTTTGGGAAAGGCGGCTTAATATACCAAATGTCAAGAAACATATCTTCTTCTTCTTCTTCGTTCTTAAGTATATGATGGAGGATTTAAAAGAAACATATGAACTCTAATTCATCTGCCCAATGGATCGGAATGTTTAGATAGTTATTTACTTATGGGGGCGGTAGCTTATTAGAAATGCGAATCAGAAGTGGGTTTGTAAATAGTATGGATAGTGAGATGTGTGATCATAAATTTGATAATAAGAGGTGTGATTATAAATATGATAGTAAGAGGTGGGATTATGCAGATGATAATTAAAATTGGTATTACAACGATGATAATAAAAGAAGTGAGATTTAAAATAATGGTATATCATATGTCAGAAAAGATAGTAGGGAAAATTTGATTGTAGTAATGATGATCGATTAAGAAGTGGGATTGCAAAGATATAACTAAGAGGTGGGATTATAGTTATGATGACTAGTCGATGCACCAACACAGAAACAACTTTGATGTTTTGTGAGAATGATTTCCCTTTCTTTTGCCCCTCATTCAGACACTTTGACTACACCCGTCATTCAAGGAAGTAAAAACATAAAATGATTGGGGAATGAATGACGTACTCAATGATGTTCACAGCAATATCACATGACACGCACGTGAATGAGATCCATTGGGGATTGCTGGGTAAGCAATAATACTACGTCCTTGAAAATATTTTTTGAGTAGGAGTGAGAAAGGTGTGGGAGTGGGGGGGGGGGGAGGGGGGTGGGGGTGTGGGGGGTGTGGTAGAGTCTTGACTAAAATGGTGGGAGGTGTAGAAAATAATCTACCAATCGAGATTGTGGTTGCCGTCTTTAGTCTCAAGGGAGTCAAAGGGGAAAATAGGAAAGAAAACAGATAATTATATTAGTAATAATTATAACAATAGCAACAGTAATAGTAGTAGTTGTAGTAGTAGTAGTAATAATAATAATAATACAATAATAATAATAATATCAATATCAATACAATACAACAATTATTTTTATTAATATGATTATAATAATAATAATAATAATAATAATAATAATAATAATAATAATAATAATAATAATAATAATTATTATTATTATTATTATTATTATTATTATTATTATTATTATTATTATTATTATTATTATTACTATTATTATTATTATTATTATTATTATTATTATTATTATGATCATTATTATTATCTAAAATAACAAAGTCAATCGTAATAGTATCAATAAAACTAATAATAAAAATAACAGTAATAGTAAAAAACAATGACAATGTCATCAATGGCAACGTAGGAATGAGATACAATTTCGCAAACGAGGCGTTATAATATTTTCAGGAAAAAAATAATTTCATAATCTTTCACCATAATTTTATTTTTCACCTAACCTTATCAAGGAGAAACAATAAGTGCCAAATGGTTTCGCACACCACCCAATACCTGCTAATTGCTTAAAACTGGGATTTACACTTCCTCCTAGCAGAGCCCATTAGCCGTCTCAGAATTAGCTTAAAAATAACCATAATAGAGAAGGGAAAAAAAGGGGAGGTTATAATACCGACTCGCGTGCTGGATTGTTTCCCTTCAAGTTGAGGCAGCGATCGGCATCCCTCGCCATATTATATTTCCATCTTTAGTGCCAGCACCCAAGCACGCGAGGGGACCTTCTCACAAGACCCGCGGCAGCACAGTTGAAGGACGTAATTTGATGACCTGTTTTGTAAGTTGGCTCGTTGGGATAATTCGATTTTAGAACTTTTTTTTTTGTTTTTGTTAGGTATTTTTTTGTGTTTTGTGTCAAATACGTTTAACTTTAGAAGGAATCGATTAGTTAAGTTGTGTTCACTTTTCTATTACGTGTATTTTTTTAATTTTTAATTAATTAATTTTTTTTGACATTTCGTTTTTCAAAATATAGGCCAACATGTGTATTTTAGAATTTGTAGGATAGAAAATACTAGGTGTTATATATTTTTATGGGTCGACGTGGCCTAGTGATAGAGAGCTAGACTGCTAAGCCAAAAGTCTCGAGTTCGAATCCGGGTTCGAGTCAGTAAAACGTCTCTGAGTCCACCCAGCTCTAATGGGAACCTGACTTACGTTAGTGAAAAGAATTGCGGCTGGGCAAAGTGCTGACCACACTATCTGTTCATATGCCAAGGTCACAGAAGCAGGTGAACTCCACTTCACTTACCCCATATACCATTAGGTTTGAAAGAGAACTTTACTATATATCAGTGGCGTAGCGAGGTCGGGTGTTACCCGGTGCGGCGCTTAATGGTGTCACCCCTTAGAGGTGTAGCGACCCTTCCTGGTGACAAACTTTCAAATTTTCGATTTGCACCCACCCCTCAAACTTTTGATTTTCACCCCCCTCAAACTTACGATTCGCACCCTCACCCCCCTCAAGTTTTCTCTATTTATTTTGCTATTTTTTGCCATGGTGTCACCCACCCTAAATGGTGTCACCCGGTGCGGTCCGTACCCGCCCCACCCCCCTTTTGTATATATCATACGATTAAGGGCAGACTTTTGATTTTAGCGCATTTCCTTATACATACCACCATTTCTGTTACGCCATTGCATACATAAAGTAGCGTGCATCTATTCATTTTTAACATGCATCACTTGTAGCCATAAAATAGCGTTATCTCATTTATTGTTCTTGATTAGATACATAAACTTAAGGTCGGCTAATATTTAATGGAGGTCCATGAGCCTGCCCAGCTCTAATAAGTACCTAGCATCTCCATGATAAGTAGCTAATGGGTTCATGAATGTATTCAGCTCTAAATACCAAGAGTGTGCAAGAGTGTACATTAGTCTACTCACTCAGCCTTTATAAGTACCCTGCTTGTTCATTAGTCTATTCAGAAAGAATACCATTGCGTGTCCTTGAGTCCATCTAGATTAAACACTAACTACAATGGTCACTGTAGTTAGTGTTTAACAGCTTGGGCATGAGTAAAGTGTGTTTATGTTCGTACCCATCATAGTTTGGAGCGAGTAAAGAACAATTTATGTCACAAACATTTTTAACATGTAAACATTCTTGACGAGTTATTAGTCATTTCAATTTTTACTCAAAGATACTTCAAAGCTAAACATAAATTGCAAACAATTAAAACGCGTAGTTGGAATATACCGATCAATCCTTCCTAAAGGGGAGCAATTCATCTTATTAAAGGGAATTATACTCTCCCTTTTTTTTTTTTTTTTTAAGCTAGGCCAAAAACAGCAAATAGGCTTTTGCAAGAAGAAAGTGTAAATCACATCTTTTTAATGAAGAAATGTGCATGTTTTTTTTTAATTTTTTTTTTTTTAACGGTGTAAATGTTCGATAGCTTTTTAAACACGTTTTTGCTATGTTTTTTTTTTTTTGTTGTTTTAAAATATTCACATGCGGAATGTGTCTTGTCATGGGCTAACATCCAAGTAATCGAAGCGTTGCTTGCTTGTCGCGTCTTCCAGGAGTTAAATAATTGACTGGAATTCGTTGAAAGGTCAAAGGTTATGTGTTTCTCCAGGGGAGAGTGAAAATGTCCTTCCATTTTGTTTTAAAATAAGCACTTTCAATGAAAACATTTTATCGAAACAAACTGTGTTTTTTTAAATTTGTTTTTTTTTTTCTTTCTTTATTCTTTAGCGATGGTCAATATTTCCAAACATAAATGCTGGTCTTTTCATTGTTATTATTATTTTACTGCTTCCTTTCATCCCACCCTCAAAATCATAAACAAAATATTGTGTTTTTCAAAAATAGTTTTAATCAATCAATTTCTGTAATGATTTCAAATAAATATTCTTTTAAAAGGCGAAATAACATCAACAAAATTTTAATATAACCTTTAAAAAAGTAAAGTTTGTGTCGCCACACTGTTTGTAAACCCCCACTCCCTCCTGCTCGTTGCATATTCTCTCAAAACTACTAAACCCCTCTCCCCCCCCCTCCCCAAACACAAACATCACTGGATTTTAATTAACAATGTACCCAGGTCAAAGCAATTAGAATAAAATTGTCACAGACTTCAGTCTATTTTTGTTATTCTAGAACCCGCTTCACAACTACCAACTTCTCCATCATCAACAGCACAACTACCTGCATCATCAACATCAACACTATCACCACTAACAACAACATCAACACTAACACCACCACCATCATCACCACGACTACCATCAAAATTACCGCCTCCATCATCAACATCCCCCATAACACCACCAACAACACTACTACCAGAAACACGCCCTCCAAATCCACCAACGCCACGACCAACACAATCCAACAAAGCCACTACCAAAACCACCCTCCAACCCTATCATCACGTTCATCTCCACCACCATCACCACTAACAATATCACCACCAATACTAATCACAACCCCACCACCACTAACAATATCACCACCAATACTAATCCCAACCCCACCACCACTAACAATATCACCACCAATACTAATCCCAACCCCACCACCACTAACAATATCACCACCAATACTAATCCCCACCCCACCACCTCTAACAATATCAACACCAATACTAATCCCAACCCCACCACCACTAATAATATCACCACCAACACTAATCACAACCCCACCACCACTAACAATATCACCACCAACACTAATCACAACCCCACCACCACTAACAATATCACCACCAATACTAATCCCAACCCCACCACCACTAACAATATCACCACCAATACTAATCACAACCCCACCACCACTAAACATATCAACACCAATACTAATCCCCACCCCACCACCACTAACAATATCACCACCAACACTAATCACAACCCCACCACCACTAACAATATCACCACCAATACTAATCCCAACCCCACCACCACTAACAACATCAACACCAATACTAATCACAACCCCACCACCACTAACAATATCACGACCAATACTAATCCCAACCCCACCACCACTAATAATATCACCACCAACACTAATCACAACCCCACAACCACTAACAATATCACCAACAATACTAATTCCAACCCCATCACCACTAACAATATCACCACCAATACTAATCCCAACCCCACCACCACTAACAATATCACCACCAATACTAATCCCAACCCCACCACCACTAACAACATCAACACCAATACTAATCACAACCCCACCACCACTAACAATATCACGACCAATACTAATCCCAACCCCATCACCACTAATAATATCACCAACAATACTTATTCCAACCCCACCACCACTAACAATATCACCACCAATACTAATCCCAACCCCACCACCTCTAACAATATCAACACCAATACTAATCACAACCCCACCACCACTAACAATATCACCACCAATACTAATCCCAACCCCACCACCTCTAACAATATCAACACCAATACTAATCCCAACCCCACCACCACTAACAATATCACCACCAATACTAATCACAACTCCACCACCACTAACAATATCACCACCAACACCACAACTATCTCAACCATCACGACAAACACCACCACCACTGCCAAAACACAAAGTAGAAGACTAGCTACAAGAACGTTAACATTATTATAACAACATATTTACCTCTTACAATGATATAAAACAATATAACAATAATAAACCACACCCTACAACGCAACCTTATTAACTAAATTATCAGCCCTTCTCGTTTTACACAAAAACGTCTTTGCAGAAACGAATATACATATGAATACATAGATCTATAGACATACAAATATGCATATGAAAATATTTTGAAATAAACGCAGCAATTCTTGCCAACCCAGTTTTATTGATTGGATTTATGGACTCTTTCAGGAATGAAAAATAAGCAGTTATGTTGTAATGTTTGAATGTGTTTTAACAATGTATGAATCTACTGCTATATTAGTTTAGGGTATGTTCTTTGACATCTATTGAGAATCCCCAAACTGTTCGTAACGATCTAGTATTTCATAGTTACGACAAACAATGTTTGCAGTATGGTTGTTGTTAGTCTTTCTTTCAGACGTTTTTTTTTTCGTAAATTTCCGGTTGGTGTTAGCCCCCCTCCCCCTCCCCCACCCCATCCGCAAGACGAGATGTCGTGATAAAACTATGGTAGTTGTTTTTGAGTGTCCAGGCAGTAATAATCGCATACCACAATTTGAGGCATAAAATTACGGCATAGTCAGACAAAGATTGAGAATTATAGTTAGTTAGTCTCAGATGGGTCACATAAATAGCATGCTGTTAACGAGAAAGACTACCAGGTAGTATTTTGTTGTTTTAAACAGGAAGATTTTAGCCAAACTGCTACAGGTTTTTTCCCCGTGTTTTTTGTGTCTTGTTTAGTCACGGTTTTGTCAGGTTTTTGTCGTTTTGTCATACTTTTGTCAATTTTTGTCATAATTTTTACAAATTTTGTCATGTTTTTCTCAAGTTTTGACATGTTTTCACAAGCCATTTTCTTTAATTTCCTATCCTTTTGTCTGTATACCTATCGCTCAGTTCATTTGTTTATATATTATTCTAAACATACCATGAAAAATTAATTAGCCCGTCCTTTGACCATACACGCATGAAGCTGTATACTGTTTAAACACTGAAGCGATCGAGTCTTACTTATTGTTATTATTGATTAGTTTTTGGTCGGTAATTTCAACAGGTATTGATTATTGGAGGTGCATTGTTCAGCTGTTAAGAGAAAGAAGTAACTGGTAGGGCGATTGATTTTTGTAATGAAATTTCTAAATAAC